TTTATCATGCAGTTTCTCTTAGCGCAAGTCGAGACTATGATTATCTCTGTCCCACTCCCTTGTAATGGAACAATGAAAATTGTTGGCTATGGCTAGCTTTGGAAAAAGTGCAGATCTGAGGTTCGACCGCTGACAAATGAGAATTAACAGCAGAACCGAAGGTACTGTTATCAGCTCTGTGTAGGAGCATTTTCTCATTCCACATGTTGCTAGCCTTTTCTTGGTAATCCTGTCAGTGTCCTCATGCTCACCCTGTAACAGCTGGACCATGTGCTCTACAGCTGAGGTTTACTGGCTAAAGTGAACCACCATGGTTCAAAGAAAAGAGTGGCGTGCCCCCGCAGCCACAGAGCGTGCGTAGACATGGATGTGCAAATTTCACATGGAGAGACAAGCCAAGATTCGGAACAAATTTGAACTTTAGCTAGAGGAAAGCTACGATGTTAAGGGATGTGCCCTAGAATGGTCGGCTAAGTTCAAATCACTGGCCTTCAGTGAACATCGTAGGTTATGGAGGGCTTTCAGTCTCCTGAGTGAATCCAAATTGTTAGCAAAGCTGCTCAGAGTTTAAATAATTCAAATAAGTAAGGATGGTCGATATGTTGGCATAATTGTATAACTCTACCAGGTAAATTTTAAACATATTGGCATCGGGCCAACAAGTAAAACTGGACAATATAACAACCAATATTTATTTCCATCTTGTTGCCGTTTGCATATTTGTTTGAGGAGGAGAGGAGGGGGATTGAACTTGCATTTGTTTGGTCATCTTGTGACAGTGGTAGTGATGCAGTGCAGGATTGTCGGGGTGTTTAAAGAGGTTCTTCACTCATGTCTGGGCCTCTTGCCTTAGGCTACTGCCCCCGTGACCCGACTCCGGATAAGCGGATGAAAATGGATGGATGGATAGAAATAACTCAAGTTTGAAGGAGTTCTGCCATGTTGTGGAGTTGCTCATGCTTACTGTTAGCTTCTACTAGCTGAGAAGTTCTCTGCTGTTTTCTGGAGGCTAAAACAACAACAACCTTCCTTGTCATGACCCAAAATGAGGGAGTCCATGAATCTTAAGTGACAATGTAATGCAGGAGATAAGTGTAGGAGGCTGTTTTCATATTCAGCCTGCAGGAAAAGTGACTGATTATTTAAAAAAAATTATAATTAAAACATTGTTTCTCAGTTAAGGACCACTTTAACTGAAAGAGTAGCAACATAGTTGTTGTTGTTGTTGATTTCACACAAAAAGTCAATGTCAAAAGTGCAATGCAATCATAAATATTAGGTTTGGGCCATTACAGCAATATTACGATAATATCAGATATTGATTTTGAAAAAAATGTTCATGCCAGGCCCAGATTTCCGTCTCGAGCCAACACCTCCGGGGAAATCCTAAGGCGTTCCCAGGGTGACCAGATGAGAAACATAGTCCCTCCAGCGTGTGTTAGTTCTCCTCTCAGATCTCCTCCCAGTTGGATGTGTCTGAAACACCTCATTATGGAGGCATCAAGGAGGCATCTAAAAGGGATACTAGGAAGCTTTGCTCGCTTTTAGCACCCCCTAGTGTCCATTCATAGAAGCAAAACAAAATCTCCTCGCTGTGCGTTCGTCTTTTTAACGTCTTAATCTAACAGCGGAAACGTCTCCCAGCGTTCCTAAGTGTCAACAAGAGTGATTCATCACTAAATTAAACCAATCAGCTGTGATCTAAAACATGCAGGAAACGTGCTGATGCCAGACAGCAGTGCAGGGTAGGTCAGCTCATTTTTTTGTAAGTCCCAACAGACCAGACTGGCAACTGGGATGTTGCAAGAGCAATATTCTGGCCACAGGGGGCGATAGGAGCTGGGTGGACTTTCATTAACCCTGTGAAGCAGGGGCCCTCAATTATAATGTTCCCAAGGCTACTTATATAAAGGCCCAAAGCAGGAGGTCTGGACCAGGGAGGTGCTGTTGTTGGAATGTCGGACCGGGGGGGGGGGGGGGGGGGGTTCGGGGGGGCCACAAAGAGGGGGCCCGCGTGCCGCCTATTGAGGACCACTGCTGTAAAGGGTCATTTTAGCACATACTGGCTCAAGAAAATGATTTACAAATATGAAAAAGTTGCAAAGTATCCCTTTAACAAGATGCCCGTGCTTTCTCAAGTCGCTCCATCTCGATGTGAAGGAGCAGCAGCAGATCTACTCCGAGCCCCTCCTGTGCTTCTCACAATGTACGTCTTTTTCTTTTCTGTTTCATACAGCTGATTAAACTCTGAGTTTAACATGCAGGCTGAATGTGAAAATAGTCTTCTACCCCATTTCCTGCATTAGTTTCGAGAAAATAGACGAAAAAATGCTTGGTTCAGAAAAGCTAGGCACACCGGTGCTTACCATTCATGGACTCACCCATCTTGTCTCATAATGGGGAAGGTCAGGCTGTTGTCCAGGAAGTGGCAGAGAGCGTTGTTGCTAATAGAAGCTAACTGTTAGCTTTAACAACTCCGCCACATGGCAGAACTCCTTTAGGCTTGTTATTTGTATAGATAAAACATCAACATTGCAAAGCAAACAGTCAGTGTTAGAGTGACTTTGCTGTTATCCAATCAGAGGCGAGATGTCGCCTCAAGCTACTTTCTCCTGTGGTTGAATTATCCATGCTGAACTAGGCGCACCTGAGCTTCCTTTTCTCAGAGTACGACCTAAAGTCGACTTTTAATAAATATTTTTATATACAATAAAATGTGTTTATTCCTTCCATGTTTAAACTTCAATCTTGATGCTCCTTCCTAATGTTTTTCTTCGTGGCTCCTTTATGCTGTCATGTGCTCCAGACTTAATTACATGAAGTGTGATTCTCTGTTTGCTTTGTGTAGGAAAGAAGAGCTTAGAGTGAGAGAAAAACACCAGAGTCTGCAGCGATTACTCACAGATCGCTGTAACTCTGTCACATTGCTGCTGCATGAGCTTTCCCACCTGAACCATGACTGAGGTAGTGAGGCAGAGAACGGCTTGTTTCCATGGGAGAAAGCATCATATCAAATATGTATCCAGTGAAGGCCGTGCTCAGGTGGATGTAGCATGGATCTAAAGAGCACTGACTCATGTATTAGTCAGAATGCTGAGTCATGCTGGTGCTCTGTGGCTATAGAAGTTATCTTAATAATAATAATAATAATACATTTTATTTATAATGCGCTTTACATTACAGAAGTAATCTCAAAGTGCTACAGCGTATAGGGGACAGGTATAAGGTACACAGCTAGTTAAAAACAGTTAAAATTTCAGGATACTATCAAGCATGGAAAATAAAAACAGTCCCCAGAAATAGATAAAACCCATCTAAAAAGTCATTACAGTGGATACAAACAATAAGTAAAAACAACACAATAAAGTAAAACACTCAATAAGTCATTGTGCATTAGAAAGCCTTTTTAAACAAAAAGGTCTTGAGGCCTTTTTTGAAAAGCTCTTACTCATCTCTAACAGGAAAGCTTTTTCTTTTTAAAAGTTTCAGCTAATCTGTTTAAGTGTGGGTTAGTGATGGCTTCTTTATCAGCGGTCATGCATTTTCAAAAATGATGTAAATGTGGAGAGAAACCATCCATCCACCCATTGTCTGAACCCGCTTGTCCATGTAGGGTCGCGGGGGGGCTGGTGCCTATCTCCAGCGGTCAATGGGCAATCAGGCGGGGTACACCCTGGACAACACAGGGCAACACAGACACAAAGGACAAACAACCAAGCACACACACACACACTCACACCTAAGGACAATTTAGACAGACCAATTAACCTAACAGTCATGTTTTTGGACTGTGGGAGGAAGCCGGAGTACCCGGAGAGAACCCACGCATGCACAGGGAGAACATGCAAACTCCATGCAGTAAGATCCCAGGCCGGGAAGCGAACCCAGGACCTTCTTGCTGCAGGGCAACAGCTCTAACCACTGCACCACTGTGCAGCCTGGGAAGAAACCTAGGCTCTTTAATATCCACGATGTGAGCAACCTGGGTGATACGGGATATTAGCTGGCTCAGGACCAGCTCAGACAGGTCTCCACTGGCTGAGTCAAAACAACTGACATAATCCCAAAGAGGGGTGAGGGGGTGCAGGAAGAACTCTGGTTCCCACATGAGGGAGAGTGGTGACCACAGACAAGCTGGCAAAATCCCCCAGGTGCTTGTGACGTGTCCCTTAAATTTTTTTTTTTTTTGGTCTAAATTTGACTTTACAAATTTGGATAACCATGCTGAGGGTTCTGAAAGTGCAGAGGTGAAATAACTGAGGCGGGAGGGCTGAGCAGATGATAAAACAATAGCAACAATCATCCAGTCTTTACTGGATGGAGTTCCTATTTACCAACAGAAAGCTAAAAACCCACATTTTATGAGCTTACAGCGCCACCATGTGGCCATCATAATCATCAACTTTATTTGTAAAGCACCAATTGCCAGAAAGCAAACCAAAGTGCTCTACACACATTAAATCATTGCTGACCCATACAATGGTAAAAAAAATAGACATAAAAACAAATAAGAACAGCTAAAAGCAGGAAATAAGAGCAACAAATCATAATAAAAAACAAGAAAACCTGGATTAAAATTTGCTAAATGATCTAAAAATATGGCTATCTCATGTGCCGAGGAATGCCACTGTATAAAAGTGAGTCTTCATCAGACTCTTAAAAACCGGCGGTGAGGATGCTTGTCGGACTTCGAGTGGAAGACCATTCCATAGCTTGGGAGCCAGAACTGGAAAAGCCCCACCTCCTCTAGTTGGGCAGTTTGCTCTTGGCACAACTAGTAGGTATTGCTGCGATGACCTAAGTGCACGGGATGGTTTATATCAGATGAGTAACTTAGTCAAAAAACTTGGAGCCCAGCCCTGCAGAGCCTTGAAAACAAAGACAAGTATCTTGAACTGAACTCTGAAAGGTACTGGAAGCAGATTGGCTAAGACAGGTGTGATGGAACCATGTGTGACAATCCAGTTCCACATAAGACATTTTGATGACAGACTCATTAAGAAGTTACCCTACTTCACCTTTATTGAAACACTGAAACAAATTTGATTTTCAAACAGTTTGACAAAGTGGTCCATAATGAGCATTAAATGTCCCATTTTCTGCCTTTTAATCAACCAATGAAAAACCATTGGTTTGATGAAGTTAGACAACAGCTGATATCTTCAGTGCATGTGGTAAAAATGTAAAAAATTAAGCTCCAGCACATGATTCGTGGTCCTCGTTTTGGCATCAGAGCTCGCCGTGTGGACCGGAGATGGTCTGAGATGCTTCCGACTCCTCCGAGGCGTCTAAAATCAAATGACATGCATAAAAAAGGGTCAACGTTAGGATGTGCCTTAAAAGACAACATGAGTTTGTTCCACGTGCATCATGAAGTAAATAACGTGAGTAGTGCTGTAACCTGAGTGGCCGTCCTCACCCTGCTGTTGAGTTTGGACACACTCTCTGTCTCGCTCCTCGTAGCCACTGGAGCAGACACACAGGTAGCTGCCTTTGTTGTTGATGCACTCCTGGTGCTCCTTTGTGCACACTGGCTCAGACCCAGAACACTCATCAATGTCTGCAAAACAAACCAGATGAACCCATCAGCCTGTGTTGTAGAGGAGTTAGTCTGTTGCTGTTCGTACTCTCAGAGATTTTATTTTTGCTCAAACAATAAATACATTTCTGTGGAATAACAGGATCAAATGATTATTTTGATCTGGAGAGAATTCCTGAAAGGAGGTTCAACAAACTCTAACTCTTGAGTTTTATTAGTAAACTCAGCTGAAGTAGGCTGAACAGGGAAACATTTCTGCTTCCAGAACTGATTTCACTTTTTTTCTTCACTAGGATCACAGCGAGCTTTTGTATCATCACTTTACACAATTTCAACATTTTCACTTAGAAGGGTAATAATTTATTCATACTGAAGTCACTTATTTGTACAGGACAATAATGGTTATAGGAACATTCAAATACAGACTTTTAAAGGAGCCATAAACTGTTATTTCAATACATTTGCTGTGGTCTCTAGTATGAATGAATCAAAACAACAGAATCTGGAGTCTTACTCATTATTATTATTATTATTATTATTATTATTATTATTATTATTATTGATGTATAAACATCTCTCCTCTGATTGGTTAACAAAGTAAGAAATGCAATGTTGATGTTTTATCTCTACAAATAACAGAACTGAATGAGTTCCACCATGCTGTAGAGTTGCTAATGCTAACGGTTAGCTTCTACTGGCAGACGTGCTCTGCTCTCTCCTGGATGCTAAATCAACAACCGTTTTCCCTGTTGAGAGTCAAAATGGGTGAGTTCCTTAATCCAAATTTTTTTGTGTGTGATATAGAGCTGTGTGGCTTTTTATGACCCAAGCAATTCACCATTTATTTACTTTCTGGAACAAAAAAAAAAGAAAAAAACTTTTCCCATAACCTCAGGGCTGACTTACTCAAAGATCTTTGATAGTTTGCTCTCTGTGTCACACAGTGAAACAACCTGTAGTTATTCCTCCCAAGATGATGATCATTTTAAACAACTAAAACAATGTATTTAATTAAAAAAGCAGAACTGTAATGATTCTAAACTTTAAAGTTTGAAAATGAGGTACCAGTTCATTTAAGAGGAATGCTGTGTGTTGTGTTGTCCTAGTTCAAACAAACATCACACTCAAGCAAGATGTCATAAACATGTACATCAGACCTGTGCAGGTTCCCTTGACATCTTGGTATCCACTGGCACAAGCCTGGCACTGATCAGAACCGGGTCCAGAACAGCCGGCACACTCAATGTCACAGGCTGTGAGGAACACAAACATTTTTTAATGAAAAAAAAAAAATAAAAAAAAAGAGGAAAGGATCTATTCGTGTGTGTGTGTGTGTGTGTGTGTGGGGGGGGGGGGGGGTACTGTGGTGGTTTTTACCCTTGCAGGAGTAGGAGCCTTCAGTGTTGAGGCAGTACTGACCCTCTCTGCACAGCGAAGGATCGTTGGTGCATTCGTTCACATCTGCAATTCATTACAGATGTGATTGTTTAACCAGATATAAACTAAACACATCTCATCCACTGCATACTTAGAACCCTTTATGATAATGTAATCAGAACACCAAGCCATAATACCAAGATAGTATTTTTTAATTTTTTTGTCATCTTCTATCTTATTTTACTCAATTCTGATGAGTAAATCCAAAATAATGGGGCTAAAGACTGAATTTAAATCAAGGTAGTTCTCATAATGATTAACACAGATTTGTTCTTCATACCAACACAAGCTTCTTGCTCATCTTCCTCCCAGCCCTCTTTGCACTCATCACATTCCTGATTGGTCGCTCCCGTGCAGGTTTTACACGACAAATGACACTCTATGGGAGGATGTGAAGTCCAAGCTCAGATTTATGAGCCTATGGTGTTTTCTCTTAAGTAGAGCAGGTCAGCTCAAAGCGTTACCTGTGCACAGAGAGTATGTGTCGTTCCTCACTTCATTGAAGTAACCGTCAATGCAGTCCAGGCAGAAGTCGCCTTTATAAGCTTGGTCACATCTGCACTTCCCGTTCCCTCCACGCGTCCCGTCACCGTCACACTGTCCGTTTCCATGACACGGCGTCTCCGAACCCCCGACACAAGCTGGAAGACAGAAACACAGTCTCACTTGCAGATACATGGACCTTTTAAATATGTAAAATACAATAAATACAGTCTGACGGGAACATAACCTCACCGTTACAGTCAGGTCCAAATGTCCCCTTTGGACAGCACACTTTAATGGTGTCTATGCAGAACCACTTATGCAGATCAGGATGTTTCGTTTTCCTGCATTTTAACAGGGAATCAAACAGGGAGAGGTGATATTTACTGCATGTGAGGCAAAAGGTCAGATGGACTATTTATTTAAAAAAAGTTGTTTTGGTGTGTCTCTAAGGAGACAGAATTTCTTCTCATACTTTAGATAGTTTTGATCATTGAAAGGACACCGATCTGAATCTGGATAAACAGTCTAGTTAAAATAATCCTCTTTTGATTGTTGAAAAAGGCTAATCACATCTTTTGGAACAGTCCATACAACCATTTCCAAATGTCACTGAAAATGTGACATGCCACTCACTTTTTAAACCACCAGGTTTCAAAGTGCTCCTCATGTTCTTCCACCATACGGTTGCATTCAAAGCTGCTGCTCTCACACAGATCCTCCACGATCTCCATCAGACGAATCTCGCTACAGAAAGACAAGAGGGACAAACTTTCTGATAATAACGACATAAAATCAGCAGCTGCATTGGGTGGTCTGATGATACAATTGTGTGCAAATCTTTAGAGTTTATTAGTTATCTGGGATACCGATTATCTTTCCACAAGTAGGGCAAGTTGAAGCGCCCTGTGGCAGGTTGACCTGTAGTTTGGACCTGGTCAGGGGCAGCAGTAGTCTCACCTTGTCTCATACTTGGACAGTTTCCTCTCCTCCCAGGCTGTGTTCCCTCCTCCAAAATTCTGCTTTGCTGTTCTGTCAAAGGCCTAAAATGAGAAATACTCTTAAAATGAGAAAAAACTCGTGTGTGTGTGTGTGTGTGTGTGTGTGTGTGTGTGTGTGTGTGTGTGTGTGTGTGTGTGTGTGTGTGTGTGTGTGTGTGTGTGTGTGTGTGAATGACTGCTTTATGTTGCTGACATGTAAGACACTGATACAGTTTCTAATAAAAATATTAACAGACCATAATATGATCGTTTGTTTTGATTAATGTGAAGAAAATGAACGATTAAATGCTGCTAAATGTTCTCTGACCTTGTTGAAGTTATCAACGATTTGCTCGCAGGTGTTACAGGCGCTTTTCGAGTCCTTCTTAGCCTCGTCGGCCTGAAAAAGCAAAATAAGAGTGGCACAAAACAAAAGGCGCAAGAGCCGCAGCTCTGAACCGGAGGACAGCATCGTCTCAGCAGCCAAATTCAGTCACGCTTTCATGTCAGTGCTCCAACCACCTCGGAAAACAAGGTTTCAGCTTATAATAGCGAGTTAAAATGGTCGAACACATCTAAAGGATCCGTTTTAAGCATTAAATCAAAGATAGCGTTAGTCTATGCAAAGCACGGCAAAGTTGTATTTACATGCCGGTTACTGAAAAAAAAGATGTAGTTTCCGCGTCAGACTCCGAATCAGATTGTGGCTTGTCATGATTGGCTACTTAGCATGCCAATCTTCTAAACGACAAATCACAAGCCGCCACGCGCGGGACACAAAAAGAATTCCCACGTGGAAAATTAAAGAACATAAATAATTTTGCCTCAAATTGTTAATGTTATTATTTTCAAATAAATATGAACTTCATCCATGTATTACTTTAACGTTTCTTCATTCTTTCACACAGGTCTCATGAAACGTAAAAATATGTATTCGCTTCCGGTGTTGACCGGAAGTGATCCTTTCAGCTGTCATGGCTGAAAAAAGAAGAGTTGTGGGGCTACCTCTGCTGCTTCTCTTTATGTCTGTCGCTGCTTTACATTTATTTTCTTGCCCTTTCACTAAAGTTGAAGAGAGTTTCAATTTACAAGCGGCACATGACATTCTGTATCACAGACTTGACTTTGACAAGGTAAGCTGTCTTTACATGATGTGCTTACAAGCTAAATAGCTACAAAACACAACAATCTGTAACTAATCCTAAATACACTCTTTAGTTTCAATACTTGTGTCTCTCTGAGTTTAAAATCCACAGAATTCCTAAGTGCAAGTAATATTCAAAGTTTTTCAATACAAAGCCTCGAGTAAAAATAATTTTGGTTTAGTTATATTTTATTATTATAAATGGCAATAAATATTATATGATATATATTATGGAATATTAGCAATAGTGCAAAAAATTAAAATTAACCTACCAAAATTTGCTATTTATTTTGTAACCGGACTGCTTAAATAAAACACCCATCTATCTATTTATCTATCTGTCTGTCTGTCTGTCTGTCTGTCTGCCTGCCTGCCTGCCTGTCTGTCTTAAATTTACTGTACTAACATTTATTTTTATTAATGAGAGATCAAGATCGTAGCTTTATTTATAGAATTAAAAAAAACAAAGTTTCAAATGAACCTTGACTTTTGTTCAAAGCACATAAATGCCTTTCATTTAACTTTTTGAGAATTATAATTTTATCTGAAAAAAAATTGTAGTTTTCATGTATTTGTTTAGAGTCTTTTGTAATAGCACTGAACATTGTTTAATTGATTGAAAAATGGAAAGTTGTAACATGAATGCAGTAAAATAGAGAATTCTGTCCATGTTAATTTGTTCAGGTAATTACATTTGAAAAATTCCAAACTCTAACCTTTTTTGTGCCATTTAAGGATAAAAATAGTTTTCCTGTGTTTCAGTACGATCATCATGAATTCCCTGGAGTTGTGCCACGATCGTTTCTCGGACCCTTGTTTCTCTCTGCATTCTGCTCTCCATTTGTCCTTCTTCTGTCTCTGCTGGATGCACCCAAATTCTACACTCAGCTAACAGGTAGACAAACCTATTCAAGTGTTTCCTTTCTCTGTGAAGAGCTACAAAGATGTTTGATGCATGGGTGGTTTTGTGCAGTTCGAGCTTCACTGGGATTGTGTGTCATTGCTGCTCTGTGGCACATGCAGCGAGAGGTAAGGAGGCAGTTTGGCTCCACAGTTGCAGGTCTTTTCTGCCTTACCTGTGCATCCCAGTTTCACCTGATGTTCTACAGCACAAGGACACTCCCCAATGTCTTTGCACTCCCTCTGGGTAAGATAACTCCAACAAGAGACTCTGGAGTCACCTGAATAACTGTATTAGGACTGTAAAATTGTGTCCCCAGTTCTTATAGCGTTCACATCATGGATGGCTCAGAAACATGCTCGATTCATCTGCCTCTCTGCGTTGGTGGTCATCGTCTTCCGGTCTGAGCTGTGCATCCTCCTGGGCCTCATGTTGCTGATGTCTCTGCTGAGCAGGAGGCTTGGACTGCTGCAGCTGCTTTCCTACGCTGTTCCTGCTGGGATCTTGTCCCTGGGTGCGCTGACAGTTCACATAACCTACCTTAAATAATACATGAATGATCAGTTAACTGGTGTTCTTTGTGTTCTGCAGCTCTGACAGTGACAGTTGACTCCTTCTTTTGGGGGAGACTTCTGTGGCCTGAGGGCCAGGTCTTGTGGTACAATACCATCCTAAACAAGAGCTCCAACTGGGGAATATCCTTTCCGAATGTTATCTAGTGAATCTTTTTCACTTGGACACTCCAAATTCTCCTCAACTCTTCTCTATTAGACCGCTCCCTTTTTGTGGTACTTTTACTCTGCGGTTCCTCGTGCTCTGGGCTGCACGCTTCTCTTTGTACCTCTTGGCCTCTTTGACAGGCGAGTAAGGTCGCTGCTGCTTCCCACTGTAGGTTTCATTCTCATCTACTCACTTCTGCCTCACAAAGAGCTGCGTTTCATCATTTACACATTCCCAGTGCTCAGTTTGGCTGCTGCACGTGGCTGCCTGTTCATGTAAGTTCAAATATAACATTTTTGCGTTTCTATTAGGAAATTCTCTTGTCATGCGCTAGCATTTCACAAATAATCATGAAAATAACAGAAAATAAGCTCCAGAGGACAATCATTTCTATAATTTTTCCTTCCTCGTTTTGCTTTAGTTTGTGCAACTATCAGAAATCCTGGATGTACAAACTAGGATCAGCTGTTGTGGTTGGACAGCTGTTGATCAACACAATGTACTCTAGCATTTGTTTGTATGCTTCGCACCACAATTACCCTGGTGGCAGAGGAATGCAGGAACTTCACAAGCTGCTTCCTGCGACAGCAGGTTAGAGTTGCTTTCAGATATTTCTGTTTGAAATTCAAATCCTCATAGACGCTTAAACCGCAGTTCAAAATTATGATCTATGATCATCATGCTTTTGTTCCTCAGATGTCTTTGTGCACATCGACACCTATGCAGCTGAGACGGGAGTGTCCCGCTTCTTGGAGCAAAACAAAAATTGGAGGTAGGTGTTATTTATTCATTTGGGTCATTTAAAAACATAATTTGATCACTTTCGTATCTTGTAAATTGACAGATATGACAAAAGAGAAGGTTTAAACCCCACAAGTCCTGAAATCAGAATGTACACACACCTTCTGATGGAGGCCAACTTCACCAAGATACAGCAGCTTCTGGTCACTCATCAGCCTCTGGCTTTCATCGAGGGCTACAAAAACCTCGCCTTCGACATGACAAACTTCCCTCCAGTCAGCGTGCGATTAGAGAGGAAAACGGTCCTGATGGAGAGGAAAACTGACTGGCCCAAAGAGAAGAGTTAACAATGGGCTGATTTTTCTGGAACTTTGACTTGTGAAAACAATTAGTGCATAAGTTTCTCCAGATGTCCCATTTTCATACAGATCAGCAAGATCTACGTCTCCAGCAGATTTGTGGATTGATTACATTAAGAATTATGTGTACACTTTGCAGACAGAAATGTCAATACCAATAAAGCTGATTGAAAGTAAAGTGATGGGAACACCTTAAACCAACAGGCATCTGTACACATGCCCTTTTATGGCTTATAATTTTAATCTTTTGAAGTGAAGTTCTGTGGAAAGATTATAAACTTTTACATGTTGTAGATAGCTCTTTGAATGGCCTCATTTAGGAGAAATAAAGATTTGTTCTGATGGAATCAATGAGCTAATTGTCTTAAAACCATTTGCATTCAAACTTTTCATTTCAGTTAAATCTCAATTGAAAAAATTATCCTAATGGAAAGCATTGCTATCACTTTACAATAAGAGGTAATGTATTAACATTACTAAGTGCATTATTAAGCATTAATAAACACGGGGTCCCTTTATCAACTTTCTCTGTATTAACTATTAAGTGTCCTTAAAGTTATGACAAAATGCCAGAGGCGGTGTCTGCGTAGTAATGTATTACTTAACATTAAAGTAGCTTTCCGGAGTTTTCTTTCAGAAATGATGTATGGTTTTTCAGAAATCCGTAAAAGTGATTATCTCATCATGCACTGAGATAAAATGTAAGCAATACGTCTTTATGTTTTCTGCTAAGCATGCCCCCTGCCCCACAGAGCTCCATGCAATAGGAAACTGAGCGCTGACCAGAACCAGCCAATAGAGCTGGACTACCGCTTACTTGCTTCAAATTTAAGGAATACCTCGGCTGATGCAGGGTTGATGAGCTTTTCACGGACGAGCGTCTTTAAAATATAAATATATGAAAACACAACATGACATGTGAGTAATACTCGTAAAACGTGTTGTAGCTCTGTCAGCTACAGAAGCACATTTAAACCCAAGAAACGTGAAGACGCCATCTTAAAACAGAGTGACGGACTTTTAGTGTGATATGCTTGTCAGCCACTAGATGGTGCCATCGGACAAGAGAAATACTCCGAAGAGACTTTAAGTAGTTAAGTTTATAATAGTTTATTGCGTAATAATTACCTAAGTAACATTAATAAAGGTACCCTTATTGTAAAGTGTTACCAAAACATTTAAAATGTTTAAATATTTATACTATCATATTAAGTAAATAAATTTCACATTTTGTATTCCGCCATTATGAAATTCCACATAACATTAATACCTAGATATGCAGCTAACATCTAAATTACCACGTAATGTGAAATTTAGGGTATGAAAGTTTATAAAACATTTGACAAACTGCTATAAACATTTTGAGATTAGCGTTTTAACACACTTTGGAACCAGCACCACTTGGAATAGGACTTAGCACAGCTTTCCTTTCAGAAATAATCTATTTCTCCATGCTGAGGTTGTTCAAAACAGTTAACTGTTTACTTCAAAAGATCTCGTCCTGTTACGTGCAAGCAACTCTGTGTTTTTCACAATGAAAAAGAAGATCGCAAAAGGAAAACCTTTATTTACAAATGACCACAAAGTTTTCATTATCCAGTTCCAATGCTAAACATTTATCAAATCAAGTTCAGAAATCATTTTTATATAAAAATGTACAGTACACTGTATCAATCAATAACAAACCCATAATTTAAACCCCCCAACAAACTAAAATTGTGCTTAAAGTGAAATTTTTTTACCCCACAGAACCCTTGCATTCAGAATATACAGCAATATTATACATGTCTTCTTGAAAACATCTTTTTCTAAGTGACTGTACCATGAGCCTCAAATGCACAAAAAAATAATTAAATAATGTTAAAACAGGTTTCAGTCATAGCATTTAGTTTTGGGCCAGGTTTTCATCTTGGGGAGAAAAAAAAACCTTCTACACCCCCCGCCCCTCCCCAGAATAAGACTAAAAATAAAACTAAGGATCTTGATGCAATCCACACAAATCTAATTATATATACAGTTTTTTGACCTGAAGTAGTTTGGGATAAGGCACAAGGAGAGAGTGGACAGAAATGAAAACAAGCATATTACCAACGACCCCGACAGCTAGAAAAGCCCTCCCTCCCTGATACACTTCTCACTGAGACATCACAACAGCTCCAAAGTGTTGAACAGTAGTACACCATACAACAAAAACCCAATCTGGCCTTTGCATTAAGAATCAGTGTATAAATCGATAATTTACAATTTTCTCAACGTAACACCTCCCATTTCACAGCTATGCAACTTGGTTCTTGACAAACGTTTTCAAGCTAATGCTCAGTACTGAAAATAAATCAAAGGGAGGTTGACTTTAAGGAACAGCAGACCCTCCATGTTCTCCAGCATAGGCCTGGGCTGATTTGAAGCACAGTTGAAACTGGCAGTGCTGAAGAGTGTTTCTGCTGGGACGATGCTGGGGGGGCAGCCCACATAACGGGCGGCGACTTTGGCAAGATCAGGCCACAGGAATTTTTTCAGGTTCCAATAGTCTAGGGGGTCACAGCTTTGATCCAAAATGTCTTCCTCCAAATACTCCAACACTGTCATCTCTGAGGACTTTTGACTCTCCTCCGTCTTTATCACTTGTCTCATGTCTGTCACCATTGACCAGAGGTCCTTGTTTGGGTGGGAAGCGCTAGATGAGTCAGTGACCTCATTGTAGCCGTTGGGCAAGAGAGGCTCTGCTGAAAGTGAGGTAGAATTGGACATGTCCAGCTCCTGGATCAGATCTTGTTTACAGCGCTCAGCTTCTTCCTCTGTAAATAAAGACGTCTTGTATCTGGGGTCCAGCATGGTTGCCCAGCTGTATCGTGGGTCATCCAGCGTCGCAGACAACCTGGCCACCATTGCTTCCTTTAGAGACCTAAGCATAGTGTCTATGCCCACAGTCTCGTCAAACAGAAGGTCTATTTTTCTGTTGAGAATATGAATGAGTGGTATCACTTGTCCCAGAGTGGCTGTGCGATTGCTCAGTTCCCTACAGGCCACTTCAAAAGGTTTCAGTGCATTGCAGAGCGACAGCATAACCTCCCACTGGTCGTAGCTGATTATTTCCCTGAAATTACACTCAATCGACATTTCATCGATGGCATTCTTCTGTTCCACCAGCCGCTCCAGCATGAATAAAGAGGTCTTCCACTTGGATGGAACGTCCTGGACCAACTGGTTCTCTGGAAGCTGGTGAGCCTTCTGGAGCTCAGTCAACATCTCCTTAGCTTTTTCTGAGCGGTGCACACGTTCACAGATCTTTCGTGCAGAACTTAAGAGGTTCTGAACCATTCTCTGGCTTTTTATGGCTTCGCTTACCATGACATCTATAGCATGTGCAAAACACTGCATGGTGGCATGCCCATGCTCATCCAAAGTATGTCTGATGGTGTCGTTGTCCGTTATCGTGAACCCCTTTTTGAGTCCTGATGAGGTGATCCAGGAATCCCACAGATTTTCAAGCTGCTTTGGGATGTCATGCATATCATGATCACAGTCAATTTGTGAGACACTTAAGAGAGCAGAACAGTGAAAGTCTTGACCTTGAGGTCTGATGTTCGACTCGTATGTTGCCCAGTGGGCAGAAAGGGTCAAGTATTCTCGTGTCTGGCTACTAACCCAAACACCTGTTGTGAAGTGGACAATGCCCCCCTCAGCCTCTTTTAAGTGGGTCTGCACAGCGCCTTTCACCTTTTCATACATCTCTGGTATGACAGTGCTGGTAAAGTGAGAAGAATGTGGTAGAGAATACTGAGGCTGTAGAAACTCTAGCAGTCTGCTAAGCCCGGCATTTTCTACCAGAGCTGATGGCTGAAGATCAAGTGCAAGCATTTCTGCAAGAAGTTTGGTGATTTTTTTGGCAACCGGATGATTCTCATTGAACCTCCCGCAGTTTTGCTCTGTTTGACAAACCGGAGTGTCCATGACTTCTTGTTTAATACGAATTTCAGCAGACGGCACATTACCTGAGAGAGTATTGTTACTTTCAAGAAAATGTCTATGAAACCTCTGCATGTGTCTATAGAGGCAGCTTGTGCCGAGGTTTGTAGTCTTTTTGCCTCTGCTAATTGTACGGCTACAGTGCAAACAAACCACCTTTGTAGGGTCAACAGGTGAAATGGAGAAATGGTTCCACAGCTTTGAAGTCTTTTTACTAAAAACGGGAACGATCTGTGGCTTTTTGTCAATGGCAGGGGTGTCAGTGTCTTTGGCTGAAGCCGCATCTGTAGTGGTGAGATTGGTGTAGGGGAAAGGGGGCAAGTCCTTGTCATCTGTGCTTTTTTGGTTTTTCAGTACATCTGGGTGACGTCTCACAAGATGTCTCATCAGGCAGCTTGTGCCGAAGTCGCCCCGTTTCCCCCGACTAATTACACATGGACAGTAACGGCACAGTGCTTTTAACTGGTCTACTGGTGACACTATGAAATGGTGCCACACCTCGGATTTCACCCGTTTCATGATCTTCTTGTTTTGCTGGAAAACTAAATGATCTTGATTAGGGCTGGGGCCATCAGAAAGGTCACATGAAGAAGTCAGTGGTGCATCATCCCCCTGAGTTTTGAAGAAATTGAGTGAGGGCTCCTGCATTGAGAAATGCATCTCCTCTTCACATTCCTCTTTAATGTTAATACTTTCCTCCATGCCTTGGGGCAATACATCTGATATGGTTTCTGACGCGCACAGGAGAAGGGATGGCTCTTTTTTAATATCGAGTGAATCGTGTAATGGAGTGCGGGACAACGCTGAGGGTGAGTTTGTATGGGGTGGGGGGATGTGTCCACCCAATCCATTTTCCTCAATCACAACCTCTTTGTGGGCCCTCCACATGTGACGAATAAGACAACTTGTTCCGAGATCCTTTCCATTTTTACCCCTGCTAAATTCATTCATACAGTGGATACACACTGCTTTGGAATTGTCAGTAGGTGACAGATAGAAATGTTTCCACACGGCTGACCTACGACGGGAACTAGAACCTTTAGGGGTTCCTGGAGGGCGCTCTAGCCCACCAAATGACATGTCTTCAATGTTGCTTTCATTGGAATGTAAAGATGAAAGGGCACTACAAACAGTGTCGGCATTGGCATACGAGTCTAGATTTGGTTCCGTTTTGTTTAACACTTCTTTGGGTGAGGGGTCTGAACTTTCAGCTGAGGATGTGGACGGTGAAGTGTTCTTTGAGGAAAAAGGAAGAATGCTATTAGTCAAGTCTCCATTTTTTGGTGAGCCTGGGGAGGGAGGTATGAAAGATGAGCTTGGCAAGCTAAAAAAGGACGCGTCTCCTCCATCTTGTAAAAGCGCGGTGGGGTGAGCCCTTCGTACATGCCTCATTAAACAACTTGTACTGAGGTCTTTTTCATTCTTACCCCGGCTGAACTCCTTCATACAATATAAACAGATTGCTTTGGTACTGTCACGTGGAGATATGCAGAAATGATTCCATGCAGGGGACTTTTTCCTCGGATTGGACTGACTCCTCATGGAGGACAAAAGACTCTGAGTGACAGCGTCCATTGCAACATCGTAAAGGGTGCTTGTGTATCCACTGAACAAACTACTATAATCATCTACATCTCTAGGTAAAAAAGGGCCGATTGAGCTACCAAATGCCAACCTTTCATCGTCTTGCAGTTCCTCTTCGATTCCATTCGTGTCCTCAATATCATCTCTCACATTCTCACTTGATCCGCTTCCATTTTCAAATTTGTCACTCTCTATATGTTCTTCAGTGTCAGTGTTGGGGGAAGCTGGATCAGCGTTACACATTTTGTCCAACTCCAATTCTTTGTCAACCTGAGATGATAAATGAAAACAAGGGAAGGAGTCTTTATCCAGTGTTGAGGAGCAAGCAGGTAACATGGCATCCACGGTATCATGGGGGTTCATGCTGTAGGACTTGAACACGTAACCGTCCTGCCCCTCAATTTTTAAGCAGGTCCCTTTTGCCTCTCTCCTTTTACTATCCATGGAGCCATCGGAATCAGTAAAGAGATCCTCACTCATGTGGGGAACATCATCGTCCACGTCCATGGCAACAGCCTTATGGTTTCTGAAAAACAGTTAGGTTTGTTAGACACAGTCACTTTTTCCTGGTGTAGTCATTGATACAGCGGCTTTCCAGTCAGTGAAGTGATATGTGTGTTTCTGTGTGTGATCCAGAGCACCTGCATGTTCTTCTCCATTTATAACTTGAAACAGTTCCACTTTGTTGTAACACAACCTGCAGAGAAAGAGAACAAAACCAACATCAGATAAGATCTGTGTATTGAAAATACAGGTAATACAAGAGTTCCACAGTGACAAATCATGCTTTTCATTTTACATTCATTTCTATCGTCTAAAACACTCACTTGTTATTAAAATAATGAAATGAAGAAACAATATGAAACAATTACACCTAAAAACTGTGATTTTTAAAAACTGTAAACAAACTAAAGCAAACGTGCATCTCTAGGGAAATGAAAACTGCCTACAGACAGGTTTAACCAGGTGAACGGGTACCATGGAACATCAGCTTTAGTAGGAATTGGCCCCTCAAATTGTGTCATAGCTCTTAAATGCTGGTAATCACCTGAAAAATATATCTGACTGTTCAAAACATTTAGAACTGTTGAAAATTAAAAAAAAGACTTCTAGGAATTTTCCATTAATAGCAACGGTATGCAAAACACTTTGGTTTCCAAAAATACTCATGCTCTGTGAAGAAAAACACACACACACACACACACACACGCGCGCGCGCACACACACACATATATATTTGTTTGTTTATTTTTATTTAAAACGTAAATAACATAATTTGTAACAATCAACATTGTTTGAAATGGAGGTAGGTTGAAGTATGCACTTTTAAGGCCCTACCCCTTTACATATTTAATGTTTCAAAAGAGAAAAAAATCCAATTTAAACTAAGAGTATCAATTCATTCATTTTACCAAATTTACACTTTTTTTTTCAAATAAATAAAGATCATGGAAAGGAAAAAGGAAATACAACAAAGTCACTCTTGCAACTGTGCTGCAATCAAAGCTGTTATATTGTCCACCCAGAGAAAGCCACATCATGTAGCATTAGGAAAATGGCACAAACTGTCCTGAATTCATTAAGTTTAATCCTAAACCCATAAAAAACCTTACTTTCTAAACAAAGTTTGAAATCTTACAGTAAATCCAAACCAAGCCAAAAGATCTGGTTAAATGTTGCCTACAGTCAATTCTGAATGCATTGTTTAGTGTGTGATCAGCTAGTTTAACACTTGCATTGTTGCTCCTTAAAATTAGGTTTTTATTTCACAGTTTTCCCAACATTTTATTCAAATGCGAAACAAAAGATCTGAGCAAGCTGCTTAAAAAAAAGAGTCCTTTAAATAGAAGCCACTGAAGCCTGTGTGCTTCACTTTGTTCACTTTGGAGAAACATGGAAACAATGATTATCAAAGTCATCATCTTACTCTAGCCACACACACACACACACACACACACACACACACACACACACACACACACACACATATATACATATATATATATATATATATATATATATATATATATATATATATACTCCTATAGAAAGCTACCGCTCTTTTCTCAACAGTATTGTTGTTGTACAATTTTTAGTATATATATATATAAATGTGTGTGTGTGTGTGTGTGTGTGTGTGTGTGTGTGTGTGTGTGTGTGTGTGTGTGTGTGTGTGTGTGTGTGTGTGTGTGTGTGTGTGTGTGTGTGTGTGTGTGTGTAAAGCTACCACTCTATCCTCAACAGTATTGTTGTTGTACACTTTTTAGTGTAGCTTTCTACAGTTTATCGTACCGTTTCCGGGTTTGCTTTAGACAGGAAGATGCGAGAGGACAGCACAATAATAGCAAACACTGATTAGCCTGTACTTTTTTTTTAAAAACCCACTGTGTTTAAATGGCAACACTCGTGTTATCCACTAAATCAGAATGAAATAAATCTGCCATGATTATAAAACACGTCCGACCCACATCCCATAACCGCGAACACAGGAAAATACCGATATATTACTGAGAGTATGGCTACACCATCAATAAACATGACGATGGCTACTCTAGTGCTAACTGGGTTAGCCACCATGCTAATAAAAACACATAAACACCTCGCAGGTTAAACACTTCTGCCACCTGTTTTTTAGCCCAAATATCCACACCTATCACACATTTACAACCACATCGTTACTGTTAAGACCCACTGACCAGTGAGTTAACTGAAGATCGGACTACAATATGACTGATAGCTAGTTAGCTGTCAGCTAGGCCACACACAGGACGCAAGCTAACCTGGCGAGGCAGAACCAAGCTAAGGAAACGCACGAACCGCACAGAATCCGAACCAGAGCAGCACTCACCACGACGTCTCACCTGTGTCCGGACTCTTTCCAGAGATCTCTACGAGCCCAGCGACTTTACGGTGAAGTCTGGCGATGTGTTGACAGAGTTTCGGTCAACAAACGGTTAAATATGACACATTTGACTGATCTGGAGGGGGGATTCACTTTGTTGCTTTTGTCTCCTGGTCTGCTGGCAGTTCGGCCGAAGAAGAAGCAGCTCCACTCAGCGACGGATGGAAGGAACACGTTTGGTGATGTCACTGAGCTCACGCTCCTCGCTGAAGCAAAATAGGCCTATCGTTATTATTCTGTTACCCCGAGGTCTCTTCATACAGCCAAAAAATAAATGAGCAAGTTCTCAAATAATCAAAATATAAAAATAAACTTTAAGTTGTCAAATATTTTTGACTCATTTACTCAGAAGAATCAAACATCTAAATTTCCAATTCCAAAGGTGAGAACAAATCACTGTTTTGCAGGTGATTAATTCTTGTGTTGTTCTACTCAAGTCTTCAGGCATTCCCGAGATGTGCAAGCTTTCAAGTCTTGAGTCAAGTCAGATCTTAAAACATTCCAATCCTGAATGGATTCCCAAGACACGAAAGTCCCAAGTCAAATCCAGTGACATGCTAGTCTCCAATGAAACCAACTCACAGGAAATGGACGTTATGAATCAAATCCAGGATCTAAACTTTAAATTCCAGGTCCAATTTAACCAAACTGGTCATTTAAAATCGGAGTCATTAGAAACAGTTTATGAATACGTGTTAAAAGTTGTGAGTGCAAGCTGCAACTGCAACTGAACTTTATTAGAAGAAAAAAAAAACGAGCGCACCTGTTGCATTTGCCAGGAAATTACATTTACTTTTATGTTGTATGTTAAATATTGGATGCCTCCTGGTGAGGTGTTCATGGCACGTCCAATTAGGAGGAGATATAAAGACCAGGACATGCTGGAAGTACTGTTTCTCTGCTGCTCTGGGAACACATTAGGAATCCCCCAGAGTAGCTGGCTCAAGTGGCAGGGGATATGGAAGTCTGGGACTGTCTGCTTATGCTGCTGCCCCCGTGACCCGACTCCAGATAAGTGCAAGAAAATCGATGGATGTTCAATATTTTTAAGTCTGAAAGTGCAAACGCAAGTAAGCGTTTGGAACGTAGGTTAGGTGGCTAAATCCCAAAATGCGAGAAAAATAGTTTCCAATTTCTACATCTGTTCAAAAATGCATATTTTGCTTTCATAAATGTGAACATGATCTAAAAGATGTGTTTGGAGCACAACACAAAACACCATCCATCCATTTTCGGCCGCTTAACCAGGGTCGGGTTGCGGGGGCAGCAGCCTAAGCCGAGAGGCCCAGAATTCCCTCTCCCCAGCCACTTGGGCCAGGTCCTCTGGGGGAATCCCAAGGTGTTCCCTGACCAGCCGAGCGACAGTCCCTCCAGTGTGTCCTGGGTTATCCTTTAGGTCTTTCCCTGGTTGGACGTGCCCGGAAAACCTTACCAGGGAGGCGTCCAGGAGGCATCATAACTAGATGCCCGAGCCACCTCAACTGGCTCCTCTCGATGTGAAGGAGCAGCGGGTCTACTCCGAGCCCCTCCTGGATGACCAAGCTTCTCAACCTATCTCTAAGGGAGAGCCCAGTCACCCTGTGGAGAAAACTCATTTCGGCCGCTTGTATCCGTGATGTCGTTCTATCGGTCACTACCCAAACTCGCGACCATTGGTGAGGTAGGAATTTAAATCGACTGGTAAATCGAGAGCTTTGCCTTCTGTCTCAGCTCTCTCATTACCACAACAGATCGGTACAACGGACTCCATGGGTGAATGCCCGGCCACCAGGCCACCGGTGACCCACATCTTGGCAAGGGAATACTGTTTCTATTTGTATTGTTCATCAAAAGGGGTCTGTGGGTTGCACTTTGTCTGATTTCTCATCCAGGACCTGTTGGCTATAGGTGACCCTACCAGAGGCATATAACCTCAGACAAGATCATTGGGACATTAAAACCCCTCCACCACGGTAAAGTGGCAGCCCAGGGAGGGGAACGCACAAAATACCTTCAGCCCTAAAATGCAATTACAGAGTAAATAAAGATCTGGTCCATTAGTCTCCTGTCTTGTAAATGTAGACATGACCATGTTGTTTAGTCTCCTCTTCTTTTTTCTTGCATTTTTAAATTTAGGTTTGAAAAATGCAAATTGCAAGAATATTTAAAATGCCTTCATTCTCCCCCAATTATATTTTATTTTATTTAAGTCATAAAGGCCAATCAAATGAGGAAACTTTGCCAGAATTTATTTTATGTATTGTACAGATTCATTATTCTAATGATGCCTGTTAGTCAGACCTGAGAACCCAGTGCTTTGTTTGGCATTTAAAGACCAACAAATGGCAACACAAAACGATTTTGTGACAGATGGGCCCTTTTGTGGAAAATCTAGCCTACAACTACCCAACATGACCTCCAGCGTCTAACGCAAAGGGTTATGGAAAGCCAACAGAACAAATAACGTTTGACTTTGTCTCACGGTTGCAAACTTTTTAAAAATGTTGTACTAAAACTGAAATAGAGCTGATCCAGAATTCGACAAAGATTGCAACCTAGAAATAACATTAATTCAAATTTGAATATGTCTTAGTCCCGTTATTATGAAAAATATTTATTTTAATCCAGTTGAATTATTAATTTGATCTTTCCTAGATAATAAATATTCTTGTCTGCGAATTACACAAATCTTTTTTTTATCAAGGAGCCTCAACGTCATACGAAAAGTCACGTATTTTTGGCACCGTTGGCTTTCCACACTACGTAAGGGTGGGAGTTGTCTGCTGGTTAAACGCATTGTTGTGTTGGGGGATGATCCGTCTGTACTCCTCCAGTCTGCCTGCTGCTGCTACTTGCCTCTGGTTGACTGTAGTTTTTGAATGGCCCACAAAGCGAATAACTGTGTCTTCTCTGAAGAAATTTGCACCGAAATTTCTAAGGCACAAAGCAGGCCTCCTTTTGTTTCATCAGAAACACAAAACACCCAAGTGTCGCCCTTTGGAGCGTATTGTTGTGCACGGAAACAGAATCGTTTCTGCAGGCCGTTGCTTTGTAAGGAAAAAAACTATTAGGTTCACCGAGGTATGTGGCTTTATTTGCATTTTGTTTTCGTTTTTGCGAGAAGCCATACAATGCAGGATAAACTGACAACGAATTTGGTGTAAACTGACGTCGCTTCGTAGTGCTTTTGTTGTGTTTGACGCCATTAGCTCTGTTTAGCTTCTCTTGCTAGTTAGCTAACGTTATTGTTAGCCACTTGGAATGTGAGCGAAAAGCCTCTCTTCCAAACTGGGAAGTGTTGCAGACTCCTGCTTTCATTTTCTAAAAATCCTTTGCAGCCGCCGCCCAGATAGTGTATCAGGTCGCTGACAAAACTCACGCTACTGCTTTCAGAAAGCTAGTTTCAGTGTTGAGTTCACTACTATCTGTGCCCTTTAATTCGTGTAGGAAGTTAAATACGTTTTACTTCAGAGAAAATATTGAAAAGTTAGAATAACTTTTTATTTTATGTGAAACACAAGTTATGTTATTAGCTGGCAATACAGAATGGTGACCTTTTTTCATCTTGGTAATTGAATTAAAAGTGAACCCTTTTGTATTATCTATCTCCCTAGATATGTTTTATGTTTATATATAGCAACTGTTTTGTCATTGAAATATTAGCATTAGCACAAAAATAACAATTGACCCACCGAAATTTGCTATTTATTTTGTGGTTTGGAAATATTTTTCAAAAACCACACACTTCTATCTATAAATGGCAATAAATATTATATGATATATAATATGAAATATTAGCATTAGTACAAAAATTATAATTAACCTATCAAAATTTGCTATTATGTAATTGAACTATCTATCTATCTATCTATCTATCTGTCTGTCTGTCTGTCTGTCTGTCTGTTTATGAACAAAACAGCAGTATATAAAAAGTTTAGATGATTTGTATTTTCTGTCTTTTATAGAAAAAGAAACTATCTTTTTGCGCCTCTCAAGATAAAAATAATGATACTCTTCAAAAGAACAAAAGTAAAAAACACATATATTCACATATAATATTCTACTGAGCAACATTATCATCCATGTATTTAGCTTGGAGGTGCTCCGTACGTATTCAAAATATTATCAACGTCAGTTTGAGACTACAAACACACCAGTCTGGTCAACACGTGTGTACATCAGAAATGTCATGAGGGCTATAAATCTGCTCCGCCGGCTCACACTTTGGACGAGGATAGAAGGAAATGAACAATTTGTTGCTTTTAATATATTTGTTGCCTTTAAAGTTAAAGTTGATTGAATTTTATTATTTAGAAATTGCATTTAGAACGTAACTTTAGTTGAACAAGGAATAATAATTGAAATGTTCTGAACTCTTAACAGGGAAATAAAATGCATTTATTCGTACAATGTTGGACTAAATGGAGACAGATGATTCGCTGTGCGACCCCTGAAGGGAAAAGCCTCACCCCAACTCTAAATTTACCAACAAAAATTAGAATTAATGTAAAATTTATCCATTTTTCCTCTACTTTGTAGAATCATTAACAGATGAATGCAATATTTTGTGCACCTCTGATGGTCATGATGCATTGTGGGTACTCATATGTTGATCGATTATAAACTATGCAATTACCAAATCAAAATGCTAACATTAAAATGTTTTAGTTACTGTTTTCTGGAAAACATTAATAAAGTCTAGCATAACTGTCTAAGAAATGAATAATTAGTGAAGTAGGCATCTTCTCATTACTTTCACTTGACCAAACTGAATACACATTTTAAATAGAGATATTAACAAACCTGTCAGTCTAAACACCATCAATAGTGGCAATAAAGGTTTTCGCAGGTGTTCATCAGGAATTTCCATAAAACCGCTGGTCTTCCTGTTATCTAAACACCTGTTGCTTGTTCTGGCAATACTTTGAGTTATTTACCATTGCTGCTTGTGTCTCCTTATTAGAGGTCTGTCTTCTTGTAGCCAAAACTACTTTATTTTCTTCCACGCCTAGTTTAACATACCCTTGTGAATCTTGTTCATCTTCACAGCAAAACGGAGTGTGAAGATGAAGAAGAAAGCTCGGCAGCCCCGGGCCACGGTGCCACAGAGGTCACCTTCTCCAATCAAGCCTTCCCCCAACAAGCAGATCCTGACCTACGCCCAGGCACAGCGCATGGTGGAGTTTGACTTGGATGGCCACATTCATCGGATTAGCATATACGACAAGCTGGATGTGGTCTCGGACGACGATCCTTTGGTTCAGGAGATGATGGAGGGCAACAGCAAAAAGGAGAATGCTGAGAAGCCACTGCTGCAGGTCCGGCAGAGGTCGGCAAGATTAAAGAACAATCAAGAGAGGAGAAATGCTGCACTTGGCATCACCAGCCATGGACCAGGAGGTGGGCATCATGCAGTTTGCCATGCTGCCCCAAAGCTTCCAGAACCAAAATTTAGAAATGTTGAATACAACCTGCCTGCAGTTCCTAAGCGCCCAGCTGCCTTTTTTAAATTCATAGAGAAGACTGATGAAGAGCTTGATGAGGAAACGGAATACGACATGGACGAGGAGGATTACGCTTGGTTGGATTTAGTCAACGAAAAACGTAAAAGTGAAGGAATTAGTAAGGTGTCTTACAACGTGTTTGAGTTCCTTATCGACCGCTTTGAGAAAGAGCTGTTTTTAGAGAGTCTGGACCAAGCGAGCGAGAAGCAGGCTCCCATCGACGAGGATGCAGTTTGCAGCATCTGTATGGATGGAGAGTATCACAAGAACAACACAATTCTGTTTTGTGACACGTGCCGTGTGGCCGTGCACCAAGAATGCTACGGTGTGCCCTACATCCCTGAAGGCCAGTGGCTTTGCAGGCACTGCCTCCAGTCACCGACCCAGCCGGCAGGCTGCATCCTTTGTCCTAACAAGGGCGGCGCTGTGAAAAAGACGGACGACGACCGGTGGGGCCACGTGGTGTGCGCCCTCTGGGTCCCAGAGGTTGGCTTCTCCAACACCACCTTCATCGAACCCATCGATGGTGTCAGTCAGATTCCTCCAGCTCGCTGGAAGCTCACCTGCTACATCTGCAAGGAGAAAGGAGTCGGGGCGTGCATCCAGTGCCACAAAGCCAACTGTTACACCGCCTTCCACGTCAGCTGTGGCCAAAAGGCCGGCCTCTTTATGAAGATGGAGCCCGTCAGGGAGGTGACAGAAACAGGAGGGCCCACGCTCTCCATTAAAAAGACATCTTACTGTGGAGCCCACACGCCCAACGGGTGTGTGAGGAGACCTCTTTCTATTTACGACGACCTCAAACCAAAAAACGGACTTTGTAAGAGAGTGGTTAAAACGAGTGGAGACGACAGAAGACAGTTTAAAGGAAAGTCAAAAAAGAAAATTAAGAGCAAGAGTCCTGAACCTGAAGGTGAAAGTGAAGCTGCAGCACCTGCTACTGTTGCGACTTTTCCGTCCCACAGGTACAGGTACATTACAATCAGGTCAACACCTGGTTAAATGAATGTGTCATGAGTTTCCTCTCCTCCGGTCTTCTCTAGGTTACAAACCATTTTGAACCAGGTGTCTTTACAGAAGAAGAAAGCTTTTGTGGACCTGGTCCTTAATTATTGGATTTTAAAAAGGCAGTCTAGGAACGGCGGGCCCCTCATTAGACGCCTTCAGACAAGCTTACAATCCCAGAAGAACACACAACCTGTATGTTTATCTGAAATTCCACAAACACACACACACACACACTGATTTACTGGTTGAATTTAGGTTTGCTTGTTTAAACCGGAAAATTATTTGGTTTGATATTCCCTCCTCAGAAGCAGAATGAGGAGGAAAGCAGAGCTTTAAAGGAGCAGCTGAAGGAATGGCACCGCCTCCGCCACGACCTGGAGAGAGCGAGGCTCCTGCTGGAACTGATTCGGAAGAGAGAGAAGATTAAGAGAGAGGAGGTAGCAGGAGTGGCGGGAAGCTCCAGGCAGAGCGTTTCAGAAGTAGTGAGAGAAATTCTGATGAATCGTTTCCATTTTCTCTGCTGTGTTTCAGATTAAACTGCAGGAGACCCTTCTAGAGATGCGGCTGACACCATTTAGTATTTTACTGCGAGTTCTCCTGGAACAGCTGCAGACGAAAGACCAGGCCAGGATCTTTACCCAGCCTGTCGATGTTAACGAGGTGATCTGCAGCAAACACTCGGACTATATTTGTGTCGGCGGTGGTTCTTTTTGCGGTTGCTGTGCTCGAGAAAAGAAACCTTTTTAAATGCGTGTAAAGATGGGAGCTGTGGTGGTCTTTATGCATTTCCCAGTGAAACGCGACTGAGTGAAATAAACAGAAGTCCTAAAAGTGCCTTGTAGCAAAAGTTGCATGAAAACTATGCAGACATTGTTAAATTCAGAGGGTTTTCACATGACCATCCATGTGCTGACATGCTGGTCGTTTCATTTCCAGACTGAACTTCATCATTCAAATGGTTTTTCTATTGAACATATAAAGAAAAATGAATTATTTGTCTTTTTGACCAAGAGAAGTAGTAAAGTGGCATTAACTGAGATTTTTCAGACCCTCATGTGATTGCAAACAGTTTCTCTGAAGCAGAGCATGCAGCCGGCAGACAGCTGCTTCCTTCAGTCACACACTCTTATCACTGCGGCCTGGGTTGGAAATCGCAGCCAACCACCTCGTGTGGAAAGAGTTGCGCAATGTGGCTTCCTGTGAAGAGGAGTATGTCACTTGAGAACGAGCTTTTGTGTCAGTTGGAGCTAGAAGAGCAAAGGGCGCCCCTCCCTCTCATCAGGCCCGGCTAGCTCAGTCGGTAGAGCATGAGACTCTTAATCTCAGGGTCGTGGGTTCGAGCCCCACGTTGGGCGCAGCCTTTTGCTCCACTCATATGTTTTTTTTTTTATTTAAAACTTAAGTTAACTTGTAAAATAAAAAATATTTACAGGATTTCCTGTATCTGATGTTTTCTACAGGTGCCTGATTACCTCGATCACATCAAGCACCCGATGGACTTCTCCACCATGCGGCAGCACATTGACGATCAGACCTACAACAACTTTGACCAGTTTGAAGCTGATTTTAACCTCATTATTGAGAACTGCATGAAGTACAACTCAAAGGACACCTATTTTTACCGCGCTGCCGCCCGCCTCAGAGACCAGGGGGGAGTCTTACTCCGAAAGGCCCGACGGGATGTGGAGAAAATTGGCTTTGACGCAGAGAGTGGCATGCATTTGCCAGAAGCTCCTGAAATCAAAGCAGCGTCGTCGTTTTCATGGGAGGATGGTAAGAGACAGAGTTTTAAAAAGTCTTTGTGTGTTTTTAACGTTTTTTTTATTATTTTTTTCTTATGTTTGATTTATTTTTTTAACCTATTTCCTGCTTTTGTTTCGCTCCTCAGTGGACCGTTTACTAGTACCGGCCAACCGGGAGCACCTGCCTTTGGACAAGCAGCTTCTGCAGCTCCTGGACAAGTTTGACCTGACGTGCAGCATGAAGTCCAGTCCCTCCCGCAGCAAACGCATTAAGCTGCTCAAAAAAACAATCAATGACGTCCGAAATGAAATAAGCCTTAAGAAACGCCTTCCCTCTATTTATCACTGTTCTACCTCCTCATCCACACCGACTTCTTCTTCATCTGCGTCCTCCATGCCGGAGCTGGATAAACCCAGAGACGAGAGGCTGACGGCCAATGGGCATTTTCCGGATGATGAAGGTACGTCTGGATCTGCTCTGGCTTTATTTGAGGAGTGACACTAAGGAAATACCACTTTGGTAATCAGTTTAAAGATAAATTTCGTCTATAAAGTGACAGAAGGTTCTCTCAAGGACAAGTTTTGTTTGAGAAAGTTTAAAAAACTGTTGGGAGAAAACATCTGTGCTCAATTTTATTTTTGCCAAATTCAACGAACACATTAAGCTACAAATCAGGATTACCATAGACCCTTAAACCTAACCCAAAGTGTGGTGTGATTTTATCCACGTTCTTATTAAACTGCAGCCATTTTTCAACGTAAACCTCAAGGCTTTTGATTAGTTACTGACTAATGCTGGTTTTAACTTCTACAGTGGGCGGGTAATGTAATGCAACCTCTCTGTTCATTAATCATGAACCCCCTTCAGATATCAAGCATTAATTTAACCTGTAATTTTCAGCCAGCTGTATCTAATGGGACAGAACAGCTTAGGGATTTATTCACCACCAACCAGCATGGGCTACCACTCTGAAACTGGTCAAACCGCCCTCAGAGATGATTCTACTTTTAAAAACATTCAGAAGCAATGGTGTCTCAGTACAGCTACAATCCAATCCAGGTGTTATGTATGGGTGTTTTTTAGAAATCAGTAAAAGTGATGGTCTTACCCAGTACTGTGATGTAATTGTAGGCAACACCCATCTATCCATCCATTTTCGGCAGTTTATTCGGGGTTGGGTCGCAGGGGCAGTAGCCAGCCACTTGGGTCAGCTCCTCTGGGGATATCCTAAGGTGTTCCCTGGAGGCATCCTAACTAGATGCCCGAGCCACCTCAACTGGCTCCTCTCAGTGTGAAGGAGCAGCGGGTCTACTCGGAGCCCCTCCTGGATGACGGAGCTTCTCACCCTATCTCTAAGGGCGAGCCCAGCCACCTGCGGAGAAAACTCATTTCGGCCGATTGTATCCGCGATCTCGTTCTTTCAGTCACTACCCAAAGCTTGTCCCCAAAATGTGAGGGTAGGAACGTAGATTGAGCAGGAAATTAAGAGCTTTGCCTTCTGGCTCAGCTCTCTCTTCACTACAGCAGAACGGTACATCGCCCGCATCACTGCGGATGCAGCTTCAATCCGTGTATAGATCTTGCACTCCAGCTTTCCCTCACTTGTGAACAAGACCCTGAGATACTTAAACTCCTCCACTTAGGGCAGGACCTCATCCCTGACCCTGAGAAGGCATTCTACTCTTTTCTGACCATGATCAAAAAGATGGTCTCAAATTTAGAGGAGTTGATTTTCATCCCAGCTGCTTCAGTATCCTCTGGAGGTTTCTTCTTGTTAAAAAGGAGTTTTCCTCTCCACTGTTGCTACATGGTTGTATGAGGATTGCTGTATAGACTCTTGACACTAGTCAGCAACTCGAGGCAATTTGCTGGATTCCTTGAATGGGAAACTTTTTACTGATTGGCTTAAGGAACTGACCTGTATTGGAATGTTTACTTTGTGAAGTGCCTCGAGACGACTCTTGTCGTGATTTGGTAGCCTGGCCTGCCAGACTCGTCCTCTGTTTAATTCTGCACAGAGAAAGAGTCTGGTAACTCACAGGCAGAGAGGCACTTGAGGGGCGGGACTATGCAGCTCAAAAATAATCATTCAGAAAAAAGTTGGAAATGCCGACTGTACCGCGTGATGCTGTAGTTTTTTTGGCAACGGCGTAAACATCTTTTTTTTAGAAGAAAGCCTTTCAGCTCTTCTACTTGTTGTTTTAAAGCAGGGGTGTCAAACTCAAACTCACACGGGGCCGAAATGAGACTCTGGGACGGAGTCGAGGGCCAAACTTAATATTTTTTGAAAAAGTGACGGCAAATTTGCACATTTTCTTTATCAACATATATGCAATTTTGAACCTTTAAATTTGGAAACAAACATATTTCTGCATTAACACTGAATGTGGAATAACCAAATTACACACGAGCAAGTCTGTTTGAAATAAAAGGCATCAGTGGTATTCATTACTTGTGGTATAATCAGCATTTTTAAAATTATTCAGGATTTATGTTTTCTTGTTTATTCATTTTTCTTACTTTTATTCTTTTTTTCTCCTGTAATACGTGTCATCGCTGCTGTGACGTCTAGCTTTCCCCACTGAGGAACAATAAAGGGATTTTCTATTCCATTCATCTATCTGCAGCCTTTCCACTTCCTGTTTACTGTAGGTTAAATCTTTTCTCACGGGCCAACAACAAAATAAAATATCATTTTATCTTAAATGAAAATGCAACATCTCACCTGTTAACTTTCATGTTTTGGAGCAGAAAAAGAGCATAAAACCAACATATTTAAAGCTCAGTTTGCTCCACTGATTTACTGTGAAGCTCACCTGTTCCAGCCAGATACCTGCATCATGGGGTTGATCTGAGCTGAGGAGGAGACTCCTGCTGTTTTGTTCATCTTCATCATAATAATGACAACATTAGATGACAACAGGTGCTCACATAGGTTTGTGCTGATGAACATGTCTGAGCAGCTTGACCACGTTGTTGTGTGTCGGGGAGGAAACACAACCACGAGTCGTGCTGGTTTGAGCGTGTCGCTGCTCGCTGGAGTTATATCAGCTCTGTCTGGACGTTAGTTGGAAAACTTTCAGTCGTGAACACATTACTGAGCGGCTAGAATCTCCGTTTCTGGGCTTCAACGTCCGAAAACAGCTGAGTGAACTCGGCGCTGAGTGAGAGGAGTGTAGTTTGTCCGAGACAGCGGAGCTGCTGACACCCAACTACCCCTGACTGCCTCGGGCTGGAAAAAACACAAAGGAGGGGGCACGTCGCCTCCGCTCTGACGCCGCAAAGCATCATGGGAGTTGAAGTCTTTGCGGTAAAATCGGCCAGCGGGCCAGTTTTAATATATTTTTGATATTTATCTCGCGGGCCACATAAAAATGCGGCCCGCGGGCCTTGACTCTGACATATGTGTTTTAAAGACATGTCCAAGTCATTTAGAACAGAGGAAAAAGCCGCAGCGAACTCCGCTTCAGTCGCCATGTTTATGACAAACAAAACTTGGCATTATGTGACGTACATTGCTCAGCGCTGATTGGCTCGGTTAGAATTCTCAGGGGGTGGGGTTATTTGAATAGGAGAGTTCCCAGACCCTTTCTTTGTGCAGAATTAAACAGAGGAGGAGTCTGGCAGGCCAGGCTATTAATGAACTGACCTGTATTGGAATGTTTACTTAGTGAAGTGCCTTCAGATGACACTTGTTGTGATTTGGCGATACAGGGACCTAACAGCCCGTATCAGAGGTCCTGGTACCCCATCCTCCCGAATTACCCCTCAAAGGGCCTTCCAAGTGACGCGGTCAAACGCCTTCCCCAAATCCACAAAACACACGTAGATTGCTTGGGCAACCTCACACACACCTTTCAGGATCCCCCTAACTGTATAGAGCTGGTCCAGTGTTCCACGGCCAGGACGAAAACACCATTGCTCCTCCTGAATCCAAGGTTCAACAATCCATCTAACCCTCCTCTCCAGAACCCCTGAATAGACCTTACCAGGGAGGCTCAGAAGTGCAATTCACCTGTAGTTGGAACACATCCCGCAGTCCCCCTTTTTAAATAGGGGGACCACCGCCCTAGTCTGCCAATCTGGTGGAACTGCCCCCAATGTCCATTACAGATCTGCGTCAGCCAACACAGCCCTACAACATCCAGAGCTTTAAAGAACTCTGGGCAATTCTCATCCACACTCGGAGCCTTGTCACCAAGGAGCTTCTGACCACCTCAGTGACCTCAGCACCAGAGATTGAAGAGCCCAACCCAAAATTCCCGGACTCTGCTTCTTCACTGGAAGGCGTGCTGGTGGGATTGAGGATGTCTTCGAAGTATTCTGCCCACCGATCCACAACATCCCGAATAGAAGCCAGCAGCACACCGTCTTCACTATAAACGGTGTTGGTAGCGCACTGCTTTCCCCTCCTTAGGCACCGGATGGTGGACCAGAATCTCCTCAAATCCGTACGGAAGTCTTGCACCAAGGTCTCACCAAACGCCTCCCATGCTCGGGTTTTTACCTCAATTTATGTATTTATTCTTTGCTAAGCTTGTATCATAGAGCCGCACTCAAATTGAAATGAGTGCCTCTCAGCATTAGCCATTAGCATTAGCGGTCCTCTTACGTGCAGCTGCCAATCACGGAGTGTGCGTGAGCATTGAGGACAAACCTAGACAGATGCAGAGTATAACGTGAGGATAATAATTGTAAAACAATGTGTTTAAGCTTTGTTGGACAATTAGAGGTGTGCGTTCACGAACGAGAGTTCTTTCTTTTGGGCATAAATACAGAAGTAGGGAACGGGCTTAAGGTGCGATGCATTTGTCCGCCATTTTGTTACCTTTAGAGAAGGAGGGATGAAAGAGCTCATGTCAGAGTAAAAGCCGTAAACCACGATAAAGCTGGTGAGAAAACGTGCTTCAGGTTTAGAAAAGATGTCCTTTCCTGTAGTACATGTAGTGTCTCTTTGTCAAAACGATTACACGCCCTAAATGTCCCGAATCACAAGCCAGACATAAGACAGACATATTCCTGTCCCACAAAACAGAAGATTTATACCCTTCATCAGTTAAACAAAGTTTACTTCTGGTTTGCTTCCTACAAATAAACATTTTGAGAATTATATCACTGCTTTCCCTCAGTAGGGTCATGTGGGCTGGTGTCTTGTCTCTCCAGTGGCGGATGTAGCAGTTTGGCTCCCCAAGGCAGACGGAGGCAAGGGGCTCTCTGAAGCTGCTGCTTGAATACATTTATTCAATCCTTATTTAGAAAAACTCGCTAGAGCAAGCTGCGACTACATGCTTTTCATTTGCTGCATTAGCATTAATGTGGCATTCAGTAATTGTTACTCCTCAGTAGTTCTGCCACAATTAGTCGATTTGTCACAATGGTGTTGACAAGCAAAATAGTCGACATTAAATGTAATAATTATTCTATGAAGCATTTTTTTTCCTTATCTTGCGAGTACCTTCTGCTGCGTTCTGCCTTTCTGCTCGAGGCACATGCACAGTGGTGACCACCTAGGTCAGCCGTTGCATCACCAGATAAACAAGACATCACGGTGAGCCGGCAGCATATTTCGAGTTTGGAAGCATTTTACAAAGATAAGAGAAGCACGTACAGTGCAAAAACTGCAAAGTAGAACTCTGCTTTCACGGGAGCGTGACAGTGATGCACGGACACCTTAAAAGGAAGCACGTCGTGGCAGAGGACAAAGAGGGACAGTCGCCTAGTTAGCTGCTACCATCAGCAGGGAGTTACTTGTGTTTATAGCTGTAGCAACAACAGTAGTGAGTTACCTTTAGCACATGCATGTAACATATTTGCTCTAATGTCACAAATGCTAATGATTCATTGTATCTCGCTACGTTACAGCTTTTAAAAAAGCGCTCCTCTTCATTGGACGAGTTTGTTACCAACCCAACGACATACATCAGCAAGCAAAGACGAACATGAGGCCCCTGTTGTTTGATAAGATATCATCTTGTCTTTATTTTAGGTGGCACGTAACAGATCATGCTTCAAACTATAAGCTAGTATATTAGAGCATCCTGGTGCAGTAAGCTAAACTTCAGTATTGGAACATTTGGCTGTGCTGCTACACTCTCTTCTCGTTTCTTTGATTTGTCAGAAGCTTTTGTATAGCTTCACATTATTTTTGTATAATTACGCTCATTTTTTGTTTTTATTTACATCTGCCCATTGCTCAGTAGTCATTCGCTTCCATTGTTAAGGTCTCATAGTTCATTGAAGCTGGGTGACGGGGTCATGGAAACACTCACACAAGGCAATCTGATGCCTCTTCATTGTAAACATTATTTTAGGATGATAAGGTTAATTAGTTTTAGTTGACAAAAATATCTCAGACATCCTTGTTAATTCACGTGTCATGGGGCCCTTGATGTGTTTGGGGCTCAACTAGGCAATCGCCTACTTTTGCCTAACGGTAAGTCCGCCTCTGTCTCTCCAGCAGTCACCAGGAGAGACACGGGGGACAGGTCCATCAGCGTAAAAGACATAAATCTGCTTGTGAATAAAAATGCTGCAGAGTTCTTGGTACCAGAGAGAGAACAATACAAGTGTCAGTTTTGTTAAATTCACCCGGCTGTCAAATTGGAAAGGAGAAACGAGAGCCGAGGGAGAAAAGTGTTACAAATGCTTCTTCTTTAGTTTCTATCCAGAAAAAGACTTTGCAGATGGATTTTTGGGGGAAAGTAATGAAATTGTGATGAAATGTCTTGGTTTGATCGAAATGCTTTAAAGCTTGACTTAACTTTAAACCTAAAATGTTGAAAGAGCTCACTGATCCAAAAAAACCAAAACTTTGGTGAAGTCTCTATTCCAAACCAGTGAACAGCCTTGAAGATCTGAATGTTTACACACTGAAGCTGCAGTGTCTCTTGTGAATCGTTAACGTTCAGTCTTTCCTTTTCCTCAGACACGTCAGAACACATTAGCATTAGAAAACCTAACTGATCAGTTTTGATTGCTTCTGCCTGAACAGGAGACAAGTCTCTTCCTCCTAAACTCGAGCCATCAGACGCTCTGCCCCTCCTCGTCCGCTCAGATGCAGACTCCGAGCCCCCGACCCTCAAACCAGTCGACCCTCCTCTGGACTGTGAAGAAAAAGCTCACAATAAGAAATTGAAGCTGGATGGAGAAATACCAGAGTTGCTCTCCTCTGCTCCCCGTCTCAACGGCCACTCCCTTCAGAGCGCCTTGTTGGATGGAGGCATGAGCGTGGTGGCCACATCCGCCCTCAGCGAGTCCTCGGGCACCAGCAACCACCGCGCAGCTGTTCTGTTTCACAAACTGAAGCCCTCCAGCCCACACAGGCCCTTCTGGAGCACAGAGGAAGAATCAGACCCATCAGACAAAAAAGGGGGCGAGGAGCAAGAGGAGGATGAAGACGGTGGACAGCTGGGTTCCAAAGCCATTCTGTCAGTGGTCATCCCCCGGCTGGAGACGCTGCTTCACAGCAAGAAGAGGAAGCACGGGGAGAGCAGAGATGAAGAGGTGGAGGAGGAGGGAGGGGAGGCAGAGCAAGAAGAGGAGGGTGAGTCTCCCATGAAAAGACTCCACACAGGTAAGAAGTGAGCTGCGTCTCAATTTAGATCTGTTTGCTGAGTGACTCGGGTCAGTCTTTAGTAAGGATTTATCACATCTCTTTAACGTGTTACTAGGGCGACTCTGAAGAAAAGTTTACTTTTTGTCGCCAATTTTCAGATTTAAGTTAAGAAAAAAGTGAAACTGGGCAACAAATCCAAATGTGGAGAAATGTCAAATATTTCCAGAGAAAAGTGAAAATGTTACGGCTAAAGTTGACATGTTTTGACAGCAGTGACTGATTCTTTCAGATTAAAGTTGTACACATAAATTGGCTTTTTTCAGGCCTGTCGAGAGGTTTTCTGGAGCTGGAAGAGAAGGAGCTAGAGCGAGCCAGCAGACCCAGTCGACCCGTCGAGCCACGACGACGCTGTGCCTCCGAGTCTTCCATATCTTCATGTAGCAGTCTACCTGGAAGCACCAGGTGATCTGAGCTGTTTGTTCATCCTGGCAGCAGATTTATTAGTGCCTGCTTTTAAAGGGTCAGAGGACATCTCTACACAACATCATGTTGGCAGTTTTAAGTTGGTGTGTCTGATTTTTGACGGGACTTAAATTTTCCTTAAGTCTCCTCAGAAGGTAGAGAGTGGACTTTACAGCCTCCATCTACAAATCTACATATTACATTAAAACATGGTAAATGAACCCCCTAGACACTTTATAACGCAACACACTCATTAAACAATATTGACATGGAAATTTCTCTTTTCAGTACCCCATAGTCTTCAGACACACACATTCACACAGTTTAGTTAACTGTCTCTTGCCATCTCTGCTTCCTTAGAAAGGCGGTTAAATTGAGCCCTCTGATTGGCTAAGGCAGCATTAAGCAACCTCCAAGGCTTAAAGTGTGGTGTCAGGTTATGTTGTTGTGTGTTCACGCAGACATGGTAACCGTGGCAGCCTAATCAATCCTGGAGCCCAGCCATCTTTAGACAATATGGAGTCGTGTAGCTAACAGAGTGCTTAGACTTAGCTAAATGCATATTCTAGAATTCAAGATGGCTGCCTTGGTGAAATCTGCAATTTTTTTGTGTTTAAGGAAGACTGAAAGCGATGCTAAGCAATGATGCATGGCAGCATCTCGGTGTTACTTTAGGAACTTTCTAGCTAAAGCTAAAGTTGTGCTCCTTTTTTCACTTGCAGCACAATTCTCAGTCTTCCAAAATGTGGGAAGGGGAAGCCTGCTTTAGTCCGGAGAAACACTGTGGATGATAAAAGCGAGCTCATTGCCTGCATTGAATCTGGGAACTTTGCGAAAGCTGCACGGATCGCTGCAGGTAACATGAAAGACGCACGTGCTTGTTTGGATTGTTAAACAAACTAAAACTTAAACCAGTGTTCTAAAAACATTCGTGGGTATCGTTCAAAGGCCTTTAAATGTGTTTGTTATAATACGGTAGCTGTTACAAGTGATATCTTTTTGATGAAAGTGGCTTGTTTTGGTCCATCAGTACTGCACTGACTTGATTTGTGGTTGATTCCAAATGTCTGAAAATCCTGTAAATTTGTTACAATCTCAAGTTATGTCAAACCTTTTATTCATTCATCTTCTGTAAGGGGAGCTGGGGGACACACTGGACAACTGGGCCACCATACAGCCTGTCTCATAACTTATGAAAAACGTAATATTTCAGCCTGTTTAACTCAATTTTGAGGGCTTGGTGTGATTTACAGACATCTGGCTTTTATATTTGCATTAAAAATCCATGTTGGAACCAAACCGCTACAAGCCAGCAACGTTTGAATTTTGGCAGCAGCTGGTGTGACTTTGTGCTCCGCCTGCCATCATGGCATCAGACCAGTCTGCATCTGGAGACGTTCTTCCTGCTTCAAAACTCACATTTGGCTGGTTAAGCGCTGAAAGTGGCTGGATAATTTAAATGTTTGTCTTTCGCTGTCCGTGTGCTCAAACACACACATAACTTGTTTGGTGTTTTTCCTGCTTCCGTAGAGGTTGGCAACAGCAATATTTGGATGCCGGCTAGTGCTGCTACAGTTGCACTGGAACCCCTAAAGCTAGTTTGGGCCAAATGTAGTGGCTACCCCTCATACCCTGCCTTGGTGAGTGTGTGCACCAGAAATGGCATGACAGTTTGTGTTTTATTTTCTCTGTTTCTAATGTTTCTTTTATAATCAGGATTTACTCAAACCTAATTATAGCTGTCTTGCTCGAGTTTGGGGCAGTAGATTGAACACGAGTAGCAGTGTCCAATGTGCCCGCTAGATGGCACCCTTTCACTTTAAACAATTTGAAGGAAAGGAGTCTTGTGACCACATTTTAGTATGCATTTGTGTGTAAAGAGTGCGGATTTGAACTTGATTGCAGTACAAGCATGTGTATATAACCCCTCCTCCTGCTGCGATTAGATCGTAGACCCCCACATGCCGCGTGTCGGCTGCCAGCACAACAGGGTGTCTATCCCCATTCCCCCCATGGACGTGCTCCGCATCGGAGAGCAGATGCAGTACAAGACTGGAGAGAAGCTCTACCTCGTCCTCTTCTTCGACAACAAGCGCAGCTGGTGAGTGCTGCTGTCTAGAGGAGTGATTTAAGCTGACACCGGCTTCCACAAGGGTAAACCTGTCAACCTCTTCGTCAGCTGATCATTATTCTCTCAGGGCTGCGGTGCATCAGTTGTCAGGGGAGAAAACAAATGGCTCTTCCCTCAAGAGACTCTTGATACCTTTGCTTGAGCTCGTGTTAGATTATTGTAAAAGGATGTCAGACATGTAAACCAATAAATAATTGGGATGGGTAAAGTGTACGCACATATAGAAAATAGTCACTGAAATGTCTTGAAACTGACAGAAATTATAATATTTACTGGAAATCAGACACTTCTACTTAAAAGGTAGTCACAGTGCTGTTTGGTGTCAGGGGTGTGTACCACACTGAACATGTTTATGTTTATGTGTTTAGCAGACGCTTTAATCCAAAGCGATTTACAGTTGTGATAATCTATAGGGCATGTTGTGATCTGTGGGGGAAACCGGAGTACCCGGAGGAAACCCACGCATGCATGGGGAGAACACGCAACTCCACACAGAAAGGCTGCAGCCGAGTTTCGAACCTTCGTGCTGCGAGTCAACAGTGCTAACCACTGCGCCACCATGCAGCCCAACATGAACATGGATCACAGGGAGCTCAGGAGAGACATTGACCAGCACGATAAAGGCCACAGTTGGGTTAAAGTCAACAGGACTGTAGACAACCTTCCTAGATGTGACTACAAGAGGATAATTGATGACTAATTGAAGAGACTTATATTAAGAATGACAACTAAACTATTTCTAAAGAGATCTTAGGTGAATTCCCACATCCAAGGCCCGTTCAGGGCTTAGAATTACAGCATTTTTAAAATTTCAATCTTAGTTTGAATTTAAATAGAAAAAGTTAAAAGGATTACATGGATTGAGTATCTGTTTTAGTTGTTTTTTTAAAGGGATATTTTGTAACTTTTTATTTTAAAGTCATTTTCCTGAACCAGTATGTGCTAAAACGACCCTTTACAGGATTAGTGGGTCACTCAGACTCCCACCGTCCTCTGGCCAGAATATCGCACTTTTAATTTCAGAGTGCTAGTCTGGTCTGTTGGCTTCGAAAAAGTTTAGCTGACATACCTGGCACTGCAGTCTGCTTCCAGCACGTTTCCTGCATGTTTTAGATCTCAAACACAGCTGATGTGTTTAATTTATTGATGAACCACTCCTGTAGACACTAAAGAATTCTGAGGAGACATTTCAGCTGTTGGATTAAGATGAGTGCAAAGCAAGGAGATAAGTTTGCTAAAAGCAAGTCAGACCCGCATAGTCTCCCTGTGAAGAGAGTGGAACTTTCCTGGCGAGTAAAACCCCATCCTGATCTGGATGTTGTGTTCCTTCTTCAGGCAGTGGCTTCCTAGATCCAAAATGGTTCCTCTTGGGATAGACAAGACCATAGACAAGATCAAACTGATGGAAGGGCGCACATCCAGCATCCGCAAGGCAGTCCAGATCGCCTACAGCCGCGCCATGAACCACCTGAGCATCGTTCAGGACGAGCCAGTCAGTGACCTCAGCGACATCGACTGACGCCAAGCTCACAGATTTGAACCAAAAATGGCTCCCAGTCATCCCTCACCAAGTCTGTCTCTGCAGGAGACTGAAATGTTTACCAGGCACCTGCTGTAACAGGTGCTCACAGCTATGAATGTGTCTGCGCCTCCAGGCATGGAACTGTGCAAAACTAGGCTTTGTTTTTATTTGTTACCGCCGCATTCAACCTAAACGTCTCAAGTTTTAGTGATCATTTCAGAACAAGATGCTTTTATTTGTTTTGGTAGCATTGCCACGGGTGTCAGGACAGTTAATTTAAGCTGAGTTTTTAATTAAAGAAACTGATCATTTCATTTTCATATTTAGGTCAGCTCTATTTCCAGAACTATTTCTTTGTATTTAAACTGTAAATAAAATGTACAGTTGCCTGACACTAACTTATGTTGCAAATTGGATGAACTTGAGTACTGTACAGGTATTATTTTAAAAAAAATATTTATCCTTTTTTTCCACTAAAGAGTGTGTTGGTTTGACTGTTCTGTATGAATAAAAAGAAGAGAGAAAAAAAGCGAAATCCTTTGTTTTAGGGCACATAAAAATAGTCCACGCATTTCCTTTATTGTATATGTTATTGAGGTTCATATTCCTTTTGTTATTATCCCTTTTTATTAAAAAAGTTCTGATATATTTTTGTTCATATACAGTATTTATATTATTTCATTACATGTTATGTTTCTGAAGGTCTGAGTTTATGTGGACAAAAAGGAAAATGTTCTCAATAAACCAAAAATGTTGGATTTTCTGTGATCTGTGAGAAATTGTTGCCAAAAAATGGTAAAAGGTGTATTTTATGTCATTTCATGAGAATATGTGCCTGCGTTAAGTTATTGTAAAATATTTGTTACTCTATATTTGAAGAAAGATGTGCAGATTGTGTTAAAGTGACACATTTCATAGTGGATACTTGCCTTCTTTTTAAGTACGCTGTTTTTCTAACTTCCTTTGTAGTTGTATACTTCCACACATTTCATTTTTTTTATACAATTGCTTGAGTTTTCCTTGGGTAGCAAAATGTAGTTTTGGTATACTTTTGTACCTTAGTGTTATTTTTTTAAAAGAGGGGCATAAAAATATTGCTGGGACTGTTTTGTAGTAAAGCAGAAATAAAAATGTGAACACCAGTTTATTTTTACTTGTGTTTGTTTTTCCTCACAGAAAACTGCGAAGAACTCTTGTCTGCCGTTTATTTTTTAACATCATTGATTTCACACCTTAACGCCAGACGAAGCTTTTATTTTGAAAAATAAAAAATTAATCCATCGTGGTGTTACATCGATATGTTCCTCTGTCGAAAATGTACCACATCCCACTGACGAGGAATGGAGTGTTCTATGCTAAAATGTGCTGATTTAGTCATGAAATAATGCAAATCTTTCGTTCATGCAGTAATAATTGGGCTGTAAGCGTTTGACATTTGATCGAAGTGCAGAAAAGGAGACATCTCGCTACACCAGTCACCGGAAACCACTTGTAAACTGAAGTAAAAATAATGCTTCAAATTATAAACAAATATATATAAAGTAAATGTAATTGAGTACATTTTAATGTTTATTTAATATTGTTTCTAAATAAATTATATATTTGTGGATAAGGCAGAGTTTAACTGCTTTACACACGAGCTAACGAATGCAAATCTGCTTATTGTTTGAAAAACGAGGCAGCATGTCTATTTCTGTCCACAGGGAGGCGCTGTGGCTCCACTAATGAACAACCATGTGTCCACCTGCTGTCGTCAAACCAAACCATCTCTCCTTTCTGGTGGTAACCATCAGAATTTAGCGAATAGAACATTTTAATCAGTGAGTTGAGATGGAGGACGATGATTAGAAACAGTCTAAATTGATGCCAAATCGGTTGGAAGACTTTCCTGCGCCAGGGCTCTCAAGTTTGATCAAAACTTTGGACTGGCTTTACAATGGGACCAAAATGAGGTATGATTTCTTTGCGCTTTCTAAAACTTGTTCATGTTTATGCCTCGACCAGGGCTGGACTGGGACAAAAATTCAGCCCGGGCATTTTGACTGGAGACCGGCCCATGTTTTTTTTGGAAAAGACATTAAGCCTTACGCTGTTTCTGACACACACCAACGTACACTTTCTTATTGGTAGTATTTATGTATCAATCTAATAAACGTAAACCTACACCATCCTTCCTATCCTGGTATTCTAAAAAGTAGGGTTGGGGGTAACTGATTATTTTTAAAATGATTATTCTGACGATTATTTTATCGAATAGTCGACTATTCTAATGACTATTTAGATGATTAATCTAGCGATTACTTTTCTATTGCACAATTAATAAAAACCAAAAAATCTCAAATAAATTCCTCCAAAAAATTGATAAGTCGTTACTGTAAGAGAATAAACACTACAGGCCTTCCATTTTGTATAACAATGCTTTTATTGTGTTGTGGTTGGTTATGTTCTGGTGACGTGCAGAACTTGGGAGTGCAGGCTGCTGCCTGAGAGGTGGTTGGAGACGGAGTGTCTCCATGCTGCTTTGTTTTGTTCACTTATGTGCATGAGGCAAGTGGTGTTACGACCCTTCCTGGGGAGTCACGTGTTTCTCCTATTTTAACTGTAAATCCTTCTTGCTGTTATATTTATAACAAGAAACAGATATTCGGACGGAATATTTTCATGTTTATTCGAATATGATTGTGGAACACACCCAGCATCATAATAAATGAAGTAATATTTATGCCAATTTAAGCCTTTATGGGTGACCAGGACTCTGTGTTTATGAATGTGGAAGACACCCAGCATCCTGTGATGGCACTAATAACATCAAGAGATAATAAATAAGGTAATATTTAGGTAAATGTAACCCTTTACACGTGACCAGGACACTGTAATCAATTTTTGGCAAGGGAAATGATCATTTGTTGCCATTTTTTAGGTGTTTATGAATGTGGAAGACACCCAGCATCCTGTGATGGCACTAATAACATCAAGAGATAATAAATAAGGTAATATTTAGGTAAATGTAACCCTTTACACGTGACCAGGACACTGTAATCAATTTTTGGCAAGGGAAATGATCATTTGTTGCCATTTTTTAGGTGTTTGTGAATGTGGAAGACACCGGCATCCTGTGATGGCACTAATAACATCAAGAGATAATAAATAAGGTAATATTTAGGTCAATTTAACCCTTTACACGTGACCAGGACACTGTAATCAATTTTTGGCAAGGGAAATGATCATTTGTTGCCATTTTTGAAGTGTTTATGAATGTGAAAGACACCCAGCATCCTGTGATGGCACTAATAACATCAAGAGATAATAAATAAAGTAATATTTAGGTAAATGTAACCCTTTACACGTGACCAGGACACTGTAATCAATTTTTGGCAAGGGAAATTATCTTCTTTTTTTTTCTTTTTTGTTGTTGCCTTTTTTGGGATGTTTTTGGGGTGCCAGTAGGCAGTAGTACAGTAACATCAACAGATAATACATAAACCCCTTATTTGGTCAATTTTAGCCTCCATGAAAATCTTAGCGATTCAATCACTTTTTGGCAAGTAAAATGCCATTTTAGTTGTCTACAATTAAATCATCAATAAAGAATTTAAAGATATTTTGAGGCATTTCTTATAGGTAAACAGGAGGGTGTAGTCTCTATTTGGCAAGTGACAATCTTAATTTTATGTGCTGAAGTGCTTTTATCTTGTTACTTTTAAATAGAGCAACGTAATGTATAGATAGCAACCTACACAGTGTCATTAAAGCCAAAGCTTGATCATTTTAAATACTTTTTTTCAAGTAAAAATGTGCCCCAAACTAGTTAACTGTGGCTCCATGTCAAGTGGACTAAAGAAAGGAAGGGGGAAAAATTAAATCGCTGGAAATATTGCAAAAAGGATTAATATATCCTCATTGTGAACGTTTAAGACAAATAGCAACACTTAAAACAACTTCCGAACTGGAAAAACTAATGTGGCAAGGTGCAAAAAACGAGTGCCCGGGCGGGATTCGATCCCCAGACTCCTGGGTGAGAGTCATACGCTCTAACCAGTCAGCCAAAGTGACATCTCCTTAGCCCAGTAGCCAGGGCGCATGATCAATCGGGACATTGTGACAGGACGCTCACGCAGCCACATCTTCCTCCCTCTTTCCACAAGCACGTCCTCGTGCTCCCGCGCAGGGTGCCACAAACACTGCCACACTAATATCCGCGATAAACATCTGTTTAAGTACCGGAAGAGGTTATCTTTGCTTTCTGAATGTCCATATTGCTAGATATGCCGAGTTTTAGGGCGAAATCCTGGGGAATTTTGTCTAGAAATGCAATTACCTAACCGTGCGCGATCCCGCGGTGGCTAATCATTTTTTTGGCAGCGAGTCAATTTATGGCACAACACCGGCTCGGGTTTCTCCTCCTCCTCCCTCTTTTCTTCTCCAACCTGTCGCTGGGCTGAGGCTCCATCACTTCCTAAATTGATTTTACTTGAACCTTCACTACCAAACAACTGTGAGATTTTAACACATGTGCCAGCATCAGCCTGAAGGGCCAGTTTCTTTTGTAGTCGAATTTTCTCCGCTCCTGCTTTCCGTTTTTTGTTCTCCATTTTGTAAAGCTCGTCTGTCTGTTTACTGAGATTCACAAACAACTGGCGGGTGCATCAGACCTCTGGCTATTGGTCCAGCCCAGAGTGTATTATTACCAATTGGCCAATCCACCAACTTTTACGAGGCGTCGCGTGGGGCGGCGCGGACAAGTTGTCCGCAACAACTAGAGGCCAGGAAAAAAAAAAAAAAAAAAAAAAACAGACACCGGCCCATAAAAGATGAATGGGTCGGCCCAGCGGGCAGTTGCCCGCTATGCCCTATGGTCAGTCCAGCGCTGGCCTCGACCAGAACACACCAACAATGTTATGGGTTATTCCAATTAAACATAATATAATGGTTTATTATAGATTTCAACGCACAATAGACAAATTAACTTTTGGGCCATAACCACCACAGGCCAAGTCAACACTGGAGGTGGTGAATCATAACATAAATCATGGTCACAAAGGCGCGTTATTTATACTCAGTAGTTAAAGCTTTATGTTTCAAATACATGTTTTTAAAAGATAAGTGTTAATATACAAGATTAGATTAATGCTACTTGCATCATAATTTTGGCCCTGTCTACATCATGCAAGACGCAATTTCTTGTAAAAGACGTGTAACCCCTAAGAGCTCTAGCCCTTTTAAAACAGATTGGAAGAAATGCATCAAAATTTAGAAAAAACAGCCATTAAAATAAAGAAGTAAAATACTTGTTATGTATGGATAGGATTTCACTTGGGGTTGTCAAACTTGAAAATATGACTCAAGAAGCAGTTTTGCAGGTGCTTAAAATGGGCTGACACCAGTGTCATCCTTTCCAAATAGGACATAAAAATTTAGTGTGATACAGAGCAATAATGACACACAGAAGAACAAATGAAGTTGTGGGGCCTTGATCTTAAAGACAAACACTCATACATTTTTAAATATAATCACTGAGCCTATTTTTGTTATTTTATCATAAAGATTTACTTGGTTACACTTTGATACCCAACTTGATTACATATCCAACCGCAATGTGGTCAGATATTTCCTGGGAGATCAGCTCATGGTTCAAACGTCTGCTTTGGAAAGATCAGATCCTAGAACAAAATGGTTCTCGTGAGCCACTACCCAGCATGTTCTTGTTGTTTCCCTGCTCCCACACACCTGGTTGAATCCCCCATTCAGCAGGCCATCAAGCTCTGCAGAAGCCTATTAACTGGCTACTGATTAAAATCAGGTGTATTGAAACCGAGAAAGCTCCAACTTGACAGCCACAAATAAAATCCAACGTCCTAAATAATGGATGGGGATGATACTGCATTCAAGACAGCTCGTAAATGCCACTTCTTAGTTTCTAGCTGTGTGTTGAGCTTTATAATTCCTCATCCAAATGCGGTTTACTCTGAATGCATGAGACTTCAGAGCCCAGCCTTAGCTTAAGTCAAAAGTCAGCAAATGACTAATTACCGGTATCTACCTCCAGCTTTATCATGGATTTTATCAATATGTTTATCAATAACCCATTTCCTGTAGTCGGAGAGAGAAGGAGACAATGATCAGACCAGTCAAACAGTTATGACTGTGGCACAGTGCAAATGCTCAGGTGAAAGTTAAACCCACCCTGTGAGGGTCCCTGCAAAGCCATACTTATTATGGAGTAAACTCATTGGCCTCTTTTGTGCAGCCTAACAGGCCAAAGCGAGGTGCATCTCCAATGCAAATGTTAGCAGAGTATCTGTTGAAATATGCATTCTACTTCAGCCAATACGGCTTGTGTTATTTCTCCCAACATGCAGGGAGGTAAACTAGTGTTTATGGAGATGAAATGAGCTGGTAATGGTACCGGTGATGGAGAAAGCCACCTTCAAAGCCACGTTAAAAGACATCTCCCATCTTCATAAACAATTGGCACTAATGTTTAGTCGCACAAACGCACAGCCCAGTCTGACTCCACCCCCCCACCCCCACCCCCATCGTTTGTCTTCAACTGATACTAATTGTGTGGGGAGGTAAACACCGCAGTCGGGTGGAGAGGACGACGAGTCAAGCGTGAATATCAATCTCCCCGACGCGAGTGTCATCAGATGACTTTGACGAAGTTGAAGTGGGCTCATTAGGGTACTGGAGCAGGGTGCAGGGAACATCCAGGTGGAGCGTTAGGAAAGCCTGCAGAGGTGGTGTTGCACGGTTCAGAAAGGAAAGGAAATGTCACATTCCCACGCAGTTATATTCTCTGTAGGAGCCACAAGAAGCCACAGAACTTAGTTTTTTGTAGGGCTGGGGGTAAACGATTATTTTTAAAACGATTATTCTGACGATTATTTTATCGAATAGTCGACTATTCTAATGACTATTTAGAAAATTAATCTAATGATTATTTTTCTATTGCACAATTAACAAAAACCAGAAAATCTCAAATAAATTCCTCAAAAAAATTGATAAATTGTTACTGTAAGAGAATAAACATTACAGGCCTTCCATTTTGTATAACACTGCTTTTATTGTGTTGCGGTTGGTTATGTTCTGGTGACGTGTAGAACTTGGGAGTGCAGGCTGCTGCCTGAGAGGTGGTAGAAGATGGAGTGTCTCCATGCTGCTTTGTTTTGGTCACTTATGAGCGTGAGGCGAGTGGTGTTACGACCCTTCCTGGGGAGTTTGGCTCGTGTGCAAAAAGGAAGGGACAATAACGGGATTTAAAAGTTAAAATGATGATCAGGTTTATTTACAACAACAAAAATCATAAATCTTTCCATCCACAGGTTGGGAATAATAAAACTAATTCTGCCTGTGGGGAATTAAAACAAAGTACAAATAAGTAGGGATCCAAACTCTAAACTGGGTGGTTAAACCAAACTCAAGGTGATATTTTAAACTAAACCGAAAACCCACAACACTCTAAATGTAATAAAAGGGAGATCTGCACCACAAAAAAAATGAACTCTAAACCAAAACGTAACAGCTTATCCAAACGCAAGAAGCTGTTAGCGAAGATGCTAACAGTAGCTTTACCAACGTTAAGTTCAAGTTACCACGTTTAAATAAACCAAAAACACCCAGCAGCAAACAGACCAGCACGGAGGAGAGACTGCTACCACCAAAACAGCTCTCCTAATGTCCGAAAGAAGCTCCTTAATGAAGGGAGAAATGCTCCCGGTGATTTTCTACATCCGCGGTAGACACGAAGCAGCGCATCTGACCCCGGAAGTTGTTGTCCGTTGCCGGGAGACGAAGGCGGGCAAAACAGGAAAATAATCTAGTAGTGGACGGACATTGTTCCGGGTCTTCGGTATTTGGCGGAGATGTTAGTGAAGGCGGAGAAGAGGGCGAACTAGAGGAAAAACAGGCAGATTCCTCCTCTATTTACAAACTCCTGGGGATGCAACAAGTGGGCGCGGTGCGTCGACTTCCGGATCTGACGTCGACAAATTTTTAGAATCGAGCCGTCGACGTCATCGATGCGTCGCTACAGCCCTAGTTTTTTGAGTGCATTTCCCATATTCTTGAATCTGGGAACAGGGGCGGAGTGAGGGATTCTGGAGCCTAAAGCAAAGCCAAAACATGACCCCCTTCACTTTACCTTTTTGTTTGACTTTTACCTGTGACATTTTTTAGAATTAAGTTAGGTCAAACTTGGTCAAGAGCTGTTGGATTTCACTAGAATAATCATCTTTCTTCTGATTTACAGTACAAACCAAAAGTTTGGACACGTCCTCTCATTCAATGTGTTTTCTTTATTTTCATGACCATTGGTAGATTCTCACTGAAGGCATCAAAACTTTGAATGAACACATTTGGAGTTATGTCATGAAAATAAAGAGAACACATTGAATGAGAAGGTGTGTCCAAACATTTGGCCTATACTGTATATAGGTGAAAACCTTTTTAAAAGTTTTTTTTCTGATTATAATCAGTCCCTATGAGCTTTTCATGCACGCTGAACATGAAGATAGTCTCCTACACCTATCTCCTGCATTAGCTTCTGATAGAAAATAGATGGTGAAACTTTAGGATTTGTAAATCCTCACAGAGCCGTGTTGCTGTTATCCAATCTGATGCGAGATGTCCCAATGTTAGGAAGTAAGACTCCAAATCCTGCCATGTTAAGTTCAGCTGTGATGTCGCAGACTTGGCCTGCTGAGACAGGAGTTTGTGGACTATTTTGTGCCCTGATTTTGGCCTGCAAGGCATTCTTTCCTTCTAGAGATCACTGCAAATGTATTAAAGGAGTAATCCACACCTTTAATGAAGTGGTTAAAAACTACATTAACAACAATAATAAAAATCACCATCATCATCATTATTTATTTGCTTTATCCATCCATCCATCCATCCGTCCGTCCATCCGTCCGTCCATCCATCCATCCATCCATCCATCCATCCATCCATCCATCCATCCATCCATCCATTTTCAGCCGCTTATCCCGGGTCGGGTCACGGGGGCAGCAGCCTAAGCAGGGAGGCCCAGACTTCCCTCTCCCCAGCCACTTGGACCAGCTCGTTTGGGGGAATCCTAAGGTGTTCCCTGGCCAGCTCAGAGACACAGTCCCTCCAGCATGTCCTGGGTCTGCCTATAGGTCTTCTTCTCGTTAGACATGCCTAAAAATCTTCACCAGGGAGGCGTCCAGGAGGCATCCTAACTAGATGCCTGAGCCACCTCAACTGGCTCCTTTTGATGTGGAGGAGCAGCAGATCTACTCCGAGCCCCTCCCGGATAACCAAGCTTCTCACACATCTCTAAAGGAGAGCCTAGCCACCCTGCAGAGAAAACTCATTTTGGCCGCTTGTATCCGCGATCGCGTTCTTTCGGTCACTACCCAAAGCTCATGACCGTAGGTGAGGGTAGGAACGTAAATCGATCGGTAAATCAAGCTTTGCTTTTCTGGCACAGCTTTCTCTTCACCACAACATATTGGTACAATTCCAGCAGTACTGTAGATGCAGCCCGCAGCCCCCAAAACCCGACCCCAACCCCATCTTTGGAAGAAGATGGATGGAAAATGGATTAAAATCTTATCCCATCTACATTTTCTGAGTTACCCATAATATTTTTGAATGTTTCTGTAATCAAATTGTTGCCAGTTAACACAGATTTTTAACTAGTCATTAAATGAAAACTGAAAATTCCAAAATATTTATTGGTGGATTTACTAAATAAAACTGGATTGGAGGATTTACTAAATAAAACTGGATAAGTCTGGAATGCTGCTTATTATTTTGTAAACTAAAATATAACCTAATCTTGAAAGTTAAAATTCTCACTTTCTCATTAAAGAATTAAATTATAAATGCTTGCTTTGAAGGTCCATTCAAATTATTTTATGGCAAATTGGTGTGCCATACATTGTGTCACTTGGCGATTATCACAATAGTAGGGCTGCAACAAACGATTATTTGGATAATCGATTAATCGGATGGGGTCTCGACACGATTAATCGATTAATCGGATTACATGGGGAAATTTTTAAAAACTGCTAGGGAAACGTTATTTCTCTCCTTCCTTCACTTTATTTAACACAACATTATTAGAAAACAGTTCAATAGCAGAAAAACAACATGCCATCACCTAAATTGTCTTATAAGGTGTATAGACAGAGACCCTAAGCTACACCTATCTGTGACCTAAAATGCTTGGTCCAAGTTAAATAGCTTAAGGGCAATTCTCATCTGTTTTGTTTGATCTCATCTGCTGACATTTATTTTAAATGTAATTAAACATAGGCTGTGAATTAATCAAAATTGATCACTATTTCCAAAAATGACTGAAAAAATACCAAATAAAACAAAAGTAAATGAATGCCATCCTCCTTGCGATGATGCCCTGGGCAACTGCCATAAAGTCACATCAAGAAATGCTGCTGATCATTCCAATGATCCCAAATAGACTCACATTAGGCCACATGAAAGCAACTGAACCCAAAAATATATTAACCAGTATCTAACTGCACTCACACACAACACGCCTGCAGCAACAGTTAGGACTCCTCCCTCCCTTTTAAAAGCGTTTTTGCTTCTGAGGACATTGTGGTTGTAAAACCACATGCTAGTAGTCTGGCCCCGGTGTGATCAACCAGTTTCTGCGGGAATGTGACGGCGGAACCAGGGCCAGATTAACACTTTGTTGTACCCTGTTCAACAATATTCAAGGGCTCCATCATCACGACCCAAGGATCACCATAATGTGGTCACATACAGAATATTTTACTGTAATATGCAGTAAATATACTCAATACTTGAATGCCTGACAACATGTAACCCGCCCAGAGTAACCTTTGACCCACCTCGTGTGGACTGACCAATGAGGAGAGGGTCTTAACTTGAGGCCCTCTCTTCATTGGTCAGTCTGCATGAGACTGACTCTCAACTGACGTTCAGTCGTAGGCAGCGAAGCGTCTCTGTGCAGCGCAAAAGCCCGGGTGGACAGTTTGTTTAATGTAGGGTGATCATATTTCCATTTCCAAACAAGAGGACAGGGGATCTGTGCCTATGACGTCACACTATGGCAATGCCACACAAACCATGTTGGGACCCATTTTTTGTAAGAACTAAATTAATATCAGATTCTGCCAATAAAAGGGCTCTAAAACATTTCATATGTAAATATTTTGCATATTTAATGCAAAATCTAATTTTTCTGCTTTAGTGCTGCAACAAGGTTTTATTAATAATAAATTATTATACCTTTTGTTTTACTACAGCATCGGTAAACTTCCTGTGCACAGATTATTAAGGATGCTTGTTTCAGCTGTGAGATTAGACGATACGATCAATGAAAAAATAAGTTGTCACACACTCCATGGAAACTTTCAGAGAATCCACAAATAGTGGCTTTCAAATGGTTTTGTTACTTTTTGCAAGTTTATAAAAGAAGCAGATGAGACAGCATGTCTGATAATTTAGTTTTTCATCTGATAATATTAGAACATGTCAGTAATGTCTGAGGGGCTTTTATAAACACCATATAACTAACACTACTGGAGAGGGTATGAATTACACAGAGGCTTCTGGGGAGCCCAGTTATTGGGGGGGGGGGGGGGGGCATTTTGCCTTGGCCCCCAAAATGTCTTGAAACGGCCCTGGGTGTGTGACTGAGTTTTGAAGGTGATCTGAATTGTATCAGATGTATAAATATTACATGTGTATAACTTATTGTTTTTTACTGGTAAAAACGTGTCGTGGAGATAAATCTACCTACATTTTACTTTTCAACACTTTGTTTTGTTTTCTTGTTTTTATTTAACTATTTTCCTGTCCTGTCTGTCTCTCATCGTCCTGCATCTCCTCTTAATTCTCCAGAAAATCTGTTGCCTGGATTCTTACCTTTTCACCTCATCAGTTACTTTTGAGCAGATCAAAGGGATCTCCTGACCGAAAAGCACAGAGCGCGTTTTCGATGCTGCGTGAGGTGACATCACCACAGCACAGGTGATGAGCTCCGCAGTAGCGAGCTTCAGGCACAGATAAGACAGAAAATAGAGAACATGTGCGGACATGAACGATCGTGTGCTAATTATAGTTTTTTGGTTGCGCCACTTTGAGAATGGACCGTGCGCTGGAAGCAGCTGCCTGGATCGCTGTGCAACAATGCGGAACCGGTTCGCAGAAACGCAAGTCTGCCGGCTCTCCCTCGCGCTGATCTGCGGCTCTCCCTCGCGCTGATCTGCGGCTCTCCCTCGCGCTGATCTGCGGCTCTCCCTCGCGCTGATCTGCGGCTCTCCCTCGCGCTGATCTGACTTGCTCTGGTCTGCGCGCAACGGCGGGCGGGAAGGGGGGGGGGGGGGGCTTTTGGAAGAGTTGTGCGACACAACGAATCGATGACGCAATTCGTTGCCAACGCTTTTAGTAATCGATTTTCATCGAATTTATCGATTCGTTGTTGCAGCCCTACACAATAGTACTTTATCTCTGCAGAACACCGGTTTTCAGGTAACTCATTATAATTAGCATTAGCAATGCTAACACTAAAACTTTATTAAAGAGCAAGTAACGTCTAAATTAACTTTTTTTTTGCTGATGAACTGTATAAACGAGTGTCTAATAGTGTTTTAAATGTGTGTATTCATTACTTTAGCATTTTGGTGCATTTTCTTTAAAAATTAAAAATTCTGCCTAAATACCACAGTATAGCGCCACCTTCAGCTTAAAACATAGAGTTTGAGTCATTTTGAATACACTTTCTGACTGTAGCGCCAGTGCCCTATACACTGGCACTACCTGGTAGCTGTTGCGGGTGGTCTTTACGTGTGCTTAAAGAAATGCAGCTTGAGTTTATTTCCGATGTTGTTTATTATGTTGTCTTGTTCCAAAATGTCCAGGATCCATTTACAGCAGTAAAATTGGTTTGCAGTGAATGCGTTACTTGCCCCAATGACAGTCCGCAGAGTCCTTTACATACAGCCACAGTCCTCGCCACACAGTAAAAAACTGTTTGTCCCATCCAGCCACACCTGAGTCCAATCTGTGTTGGCTTAAGTAGGCTGGTGCTTCCACAAGCAATTAACCAATAATGTTAGGCCAAGCCTCCTCTCAAGTGCACAAAAAGAAATGACACATATGGCTCCTACACGCCAGCCCCTAATTGCGCATGGCAGAAGACAAAGCAATTACAATAACTTAAATTACAGGAGCCATTATAAAACACAAAAAACACCAATACATAATAAAAAGAAACATAAACCAAAAGACCCGTAATACCTTTTGCAACCTAATCTTCCCCTTCACACACTAAACATAGTTTAGTTACTGGTCTCTCGATAATGTTAGTCTTGGTTTGAAGGCGAACCACTCGAACCAAGCCCTTCTTGTCAGGAAACGTTTTAAGGACTTTCCCTAACACCCATGATCCTCTAGGAGTGGTGTAGTCCATAACCATAGCTACGTCTCCCACTTCTAACCCTTTTTTCCTTTTGATCCATTTTTGTTTTTCCTGTAATAGTGGCAAGTACTCCCTGATCCACCGCTTCCAAAATAAATCAGCAATGTACTGTACCTGTTTCCACCTTCTCTTTACATAAAGGTCCTCTTTCTCAAAGATACCTGGTGGAAGGACAGGTTTCCCTTTCATGAGAAGTAAATGATTGGGCGTTAAAGCTTCAAGATCATTGGGATCCTCTGATAGTTTGGTTAGAGGTCGGTCATTCAGGATAGCCTCAGCTCCGCATAGGATGGTATGCAGACCTTCATCATCTAATACTTGTTGACGCAACACTGAGTGTAGAACCTTTCTGATGATGCAAATGAGACGTTCCCAAACTCCACCAAAATGTGACCCTGTTGGTGGATTGAAAGACCACTTTATCCCGCTTTGTGTCATTGCCTTTTCGATTTTTTTTGTATTTAGGGCACCTATGGCCTCTCGTAGCTCTCTTTCTGCTCCTATGAAGTTAGTACCATTGTCTGACCTCATATGTGTGACTTGACCTCTTCGTGCAATAAACCTTCGTAAAGCATTAATGCATGAATCAGTGTTTAAGGAGTAAGCCACCTCCAAATGCACTGCTCTGCTAGTCATGCATGTAAAAATCACACTGTAGCGTTTAACTACACTGCGTCCTCTTTGCACCTATATAGGTCCAAAATAATCTACCCCAACATTTGTAAATGGGGGTAAATCTGGAACCACCCTCTCTGTCGGCAAGTCTGCCATTTGCTGAAGCTGGAGTTTTCCTCTATATTTCTTGCAAAACAGACACTCAGCCAAGACTTTCCTAACAGCAGAAACCCCATGTGTTATCCAATATTTCCTTCTTATAACCGAAAGAACATGGTTTCTACCACCATGTCTAAGCTGAAGATGTACATGACGAATGATAAGTTCAGAAATATGTTGGTCCTTTGACAGAATACAAGGATGTTTTGTGGTTTCAGGAATGGCTGACTTGCTCAACCGGCCTCCCACTCGCAGAAAACCGTCCTGAAACACTGGATCTAATTTGTATATGCTGCTTTTTTTAGATACCTCGGCTTTACCTGCTGTTAAAGCGGTTATCTCTTCAGAAAATCTTTCTTGCTGACAAAAGGCAATGATTGCATTTTCTGCTTCCTTAAGGTTGTCCAAAGATAAACCTTGATTTCCTAATGATTTTTTGAATTCTTGTAACTTTCTAGTCAGGTTTACAGCTGGGACATCTGAAATGGAAATTTGTTTCCTCTCTTTGCTCAGCCTTAGCAGGACTTCTTTTATTTTTAAAAACCATGCAACAGCTACCTTTAGCTTTTGCCAGTCGGAATGGTAAGCTATTAGCTTTGATGTAGGGTTGACACTGTTGGTTGTTGCACATGCCACTACCATATGTTTTATTTCTGGGTCATCAGTGGGTAACTGCAGGGTTGTAGGGTTTTGTGGCCAACTATTTTCAGGCTCTGAAAGAAACTTTGGGGTTTCTATCCACTTTTGCTTCACATTTCCACCTGATAACCCACGTGAGGCATGATCAGCGGGGTTTAGCCCAGAAGGTATATACCTCCATTGATCCACTTCAGAATTTTCTCTGATGGTGTGTATGCGATTCGCTACAAAGGTTTTGAAGCGCTTGTTTTCATTTTGAATGTATCTTAGGACAGCTGTACTGTCTGTCCAAAAACAGGTTTTCTTCAAAGGTAACTGAAGTTCTGCACGCAACATCTTATCTAGTTTAACTGCTAAAACTGCAGCCGAAAGCTCCAAGCGAGGGATGGTAACAGATTTCAATGGGGCTACTCAAGCCTTGCCAAATAGAAATGACACGTGTATCTCTTCCTTGTCGTTACTGAGTCTGAGGTAATTAGCTGTACCGTACCCACTTTCGCTTGCATCAGAGAAGTGATGCATTTGTGCGCTGATTACCTTTCCGAACCCTTCTGGCTTAAGGCACCTGCCGATTTGGAAATCTTTTAAACTTTCCAAATCTCTCAACCATTTCTCCCATTCCTTTTGGAAGGTATCAGGTACATGATCATCCCATCTACACTTTAGTCTACAGTACATAGTTTCTGCAAGAGTAACTTGGCAGGTAGAATGACAGGAGCTAGGAATCCCAACGGATCATATACTGAGCTGATAACTGACAGCATTCCTCTTTTGGTAGCAGGCTTTTCCTTCACCTTTGGTTTGAATATGAAGTTATCAGTTTCAACACACCATAACAAGCCTAATGCTCTACTCACGGGTAGATTATCTTTATCCAAGTCCAAGTCACAGAGTGTTTGTGCTCTGCAGCTTTCTGCAATGTTTTGAAGCACATTTCTCTTGTTGCTAGTCCACTGAGTTAAGGTAAAACCTCCCTTGCTGCAGATGGACGTGAGGTCCTTTGCCATGGTGACTGCATCTTGTTCTGTTGGCACACTTTTAAGAAGATCATCCATGTAAAAGTTTCGGTGGACGCTTTCCACAACATCTGGGGCATAGTTAGTTTCATTGTCCTCAGCTGTCCTCCGAAGGGCATAACAGGCACAGCTTGGGGACGAAACAGCTCCAAACAAGTGAACAGTCATTCTGTACTCTTCTGGAATCTGTTCTAAGTCACAATCAGGCCACCAAAGGTAACGTAAAAAGTCTGTGTGCTCTTCAGCCGCCTTAACTTGGTGGAACATTGCCTTTATATCTGCCATTAGTGCCACAGGCTCTTGTCGAAATCTAACTAAAACTCCGACCAGTGAGCTAGTCAAATTAGGACCTTGCAGAAGCTGGTTGTTTAGGGAGATGCCTTTGTACTCTGCTCCACAATCAAATACTATGCGCAACTTCTGTTTTTGTGGATGGTACACAGCGTGATGGGGTATGTACCAGACCCTACCGGCTATTGGCTGCAACTGGTTTTGCGGTACCTTTTCTGCATGCCCATTGACTATGGTCTCTGCCATAAAACTGGTGTAATCCGCATGAAAACTCTTGTTTGCTTTTAGCTTTCTTTTTAGACCCAGTAGTCGCTGGAGAGCTACATTAATGTTGTTTGTCATGTGAATGTTTTCCTTTTTAAAAGGCAGTGGAAGTTTGTACTGGCTTCTTTCTACCTGTGCCGAACACTTCATTATGTCTAGGAACCTTTTTTTCTCCCTTGACATTTCCTCTTGCTCAATGCAAGATTCTTCCACAAAGTCATGGTTGTATTGACTGATTAGCAACTGTTCAAGCTTATACACTGAGGTTCGGTTTACTTGAACCAATGGGTACTGACTTGTTCCACGGTAGACATCTTTGGCTGAACCATTTACAACCCAGCCCAACAAACTTCGAATGGCATAAGGCCCTTCACCCTGACTGTTTATGACCTCCCAAGGTTCTATTAGTTTGGAAGCGTTTGTTCCGATCAACAAATCCACCCCAGCATGTACTTTAGGAAACTTTAATCCCTTCAAGTACGACCACTTTGCCAACTCTTCTTCGCTTATTAGGTTGTCGATTGACACAGGCATAGTTTTTTGAGTAAAAGCTGTAGGGAGTGTGTAAAAATGTTCGCCAGAGAAATCAGAAATCTCAAGTCCCTTCACAACAGAGGATTTTATGATCTTGCTTTGACCCATAGTACGGAGATGAATTTGAGTTTTTTGACCTTGCATGTTAAGCAGATGAAGAAGGTTCTCAGTACAAAACGTGTCTGTACTTCCTGGGTCTAGGAACGCATATGTTTCCACTATAGTAGCTCCCTTTAAACTTTTCACCTTAACAGGTACTATTGGCAGTATACCATGCTGATAGCCAGCCCCAGTATGACCACAAGTAGAGTAACTCTCAAACTGCTGCTCATTTCCCTGATTTGGAGCCTTTGCTGAACTGACTTTTGAATTTCTTTCCTTTTGACCAATATGCAACATGCTATGATGAGCGTGGTTACAGTATTTGCAGGTGTTGTGTTTTTCACAACTCTTACTCAGATGGCCAACATTAAAGCACCCAAAACATTGACCCTTATTTTTCAAGAAATCTAGTTTCTCTTTATGAGACCTTTTCTCAAACTTCCGACATTTTTCCAAATTATGCCCGCTTTGTGTACAAAACACACAGACTGCTTCACTTTGACTCAGAGCTTTTGGTTGATAAACGTTTTGTGGACATTCTCCTTTGACAGAAACGTTAGTTACAAAGCTGCTTCTTTTGAATTGTGGTTTTATTAAAGATCTTTCCACCTTAGAAATGTTCTTGGCAGGTGTTACGTCCTGTATGTCCCCAAATATGGGATCAGCAGTTATTCTTATTTGGCGTTCTATGAAAGTGACAACGTCCAGAAAACGTGCTCTTTGACTAGTTCTTTCAAGAATTTCATTTGCTTTAACCCTCCATTTTTCTCTAAGCTTGTAAGGAAGCTTTTGAATCAACATTCTTAAATTATTTGGCATGTTCAACTCTTCTAAATACAGCAACTCCTCCATTGCATTGCAACATTCTCTTAAGAACAGACCATATCGCTTTAGAGCTGCAGCGTCTTCTGCCTTGATGCTTGGCCAGTCAGACACCTTGTCCATGTAAGCTGCAGTTACCTTGTGCTCGTTCCCAAAATGCTCTTTAAGTAGCTTTCTGGCTAACACGTACCCTCTGTCTGCTGTTAAATGAAGACAACTACGAACCAAGTCCCTAGGTTGCCCCCTAGTGTATTGTTCCAAATAATACAAACAGTCCCCTTTATTGCTAGTTTTGGATTCTACACAATGTTCAAAAGCCTTGATAAAGGAATTGAACTGCAGTGGATTACCATCGTAGACTGGGATTTCTCTACTTGGCAGTAATTGAGCTGTTTGCATTTGAACCAAAACTGGTGTGATCTCATTTTGTTGTTTTAATTGACTGTACACGTTTCCAACTTCCAGTTCTCTGTGAGATAAGTTCTTGCTGCCTTGTGCTGCAAGTGTAACATTTGGTTCCTTAGCTGCAGGTTTTACTCATTGCAAAGTTAGGGACTGGCTTGGTGGAAGAAAGACTCCAGCCTCCGTGTGGTCTAAATCAACTGAGACAGGTACGGATGCTGGTATGGATTTCTCCAAATCTGACACCTTTGCAATTTGCTTAAATGACGCCTCTGATTCTTGCAGTTGAAGATCTTTTACTTTGGGTTTTGTACCCGTTCTTATGTATGACTCCATGCCATCTGAACACCGGGAGACCGATGCACTACTTTTAGTACTACCCTCTAGCACAGACAGTCTAGCATTCGCAGCAGCAATTTTGGTGATCAACTCTAATTGTTCCTTTTTCCTTTTAAGCAAATGTTCTTGTTCTTCAATAGCATGCTTCTCCTTTAAAGCTGCAGCACATGCTACTAATGCAGCCCTTTCTACTTCAGCCTTTAGTCTTGCGGACGATGTGGAAGACTTACTAATTGCAGTAAATAAAGAACTCTTTTTACTCCGTGAGCCTCTTGAATCAACATTAGAAATGCTGTCCTGTGGTTCAATATGTGGCTCATCTTCCTCTGCTCTTTGTGAAGCCAACCAGATCTCAGTAGCACACATGAATTCTTTAACATCCAACATTTTAGCTTGGTACCATGTTTCATGCTTTTGTGCTTCTTCTGCAGGTAATAAAGTTATCAACTTGTTATGAGTCTCTAATGTCTCGTCATGCAAACTCAATAACTTTTTATACTCAGAATCAACTTCATTTAAACACTGTTCATTTTTCAGTAAGTTGATGTTTTATCTTAGTTTGCTAAGCTTATTTAGCTTTTTCTTCCTTTCTTCTTCTAAGTTACCAATCTTCATGACCAAAGCTTTGGCTGTTAATTTAACTTCCCTTTTCTCAGCTGATCTATACCCCAAAGCAAAGTTCTGTTCCCCTTGGAGCTCAACACCAACATTTTCCTCTTCTGCCATGACAAGTGGAACGTCTTAAACCTTTGTCCAAACAAAACCTTTAAGAAATTTCACCTTCACAAGTCACTGTCTTTATTCTTTAATGGCTAAGCCCAGTGTTCGAGGTTACCTCTTGTGCTTCAATGTACTTTTACCGCACTGTTGCTCCTCCAATGCGATGACGCTCCTTCGATGCGCACCTCCTCTTCAGCGATGAGCTACTCCTTCCACTGCGCGCTGCTGCTCCAGCGATGAAGTTGCCAGACGCCTGCCCCAGTGGCAGGACGCTTGCTGCTCCTTCCGCTGCGCGCCGTCGCTCCAGCGTTGAGGTCGCTCAGTGGATCCAACGCTGAAGTCTCCTGCCCCAATGACAGGATGCCCGCCGCCCCTCTGATGAGCGGTGCTCCGCTGCGAGTCGCTCTTTCTGTCGCGCACCGCTGCTCCAGCGATGAGGTTGCCAGACGCCTGCCCCAGTGGCAGGAAGTTCGCTGCTCCTTCCGCTGCGCGATGCCGCTCCAGCGATGAGGTCACTCAGCGGATCCAATGCTGAAACGTCTGCCCCAGTGGCAGAACGCTCTCTGCTCCTTCCGCTGCGTGCCGCCGCTCCAGCGATGAGGTCGCTCAGTGGATCCAACGCTGAAACGTTTGCCCCAGTGGCAGAACGCCCGCCTTTCTTCCGCCGCGTGCCACACCTTTTGCGCTGAGCTGCTTCCTTGATGTGCGCTGGTCTGCCGCCCGCCGCTCCAGCGACGATCCTTCAGATGCGCACCGCTCTCTGACGCGCGCTGACCCTTCAGTGACGAGGCCGCACAGCTGATCCAACGAAGACACCTCTGCCCCAATGACAGAACGCCCGCCGCTGTCTGCTGATGTGCTGCTCGTTCTACGATGAGGGAAGGACAGCCAGATCCCACGCAGAAACTCCTTCTGTCCCAATGACAGCTCGACGCTCCGTGCTTCTTCCAGACGCGCCGTTGAAATGCGCGGTTCCTCCAGTGATCAGGAAACAGCTGATCCAATTACGTCTCTGCTGCCTTGATTGCAGAGGACGCCAAACTTCCTTCGCCGACGGGACAGTTTTTTACCTTGAAGTGTAGCGCCAGTGCCCTATACACTGGCACTACCTGGTAGCTGTTGCGGGTGGTCTTTACGTGTGCTTAAAGAAATGCAGCTTGAGTTTATTTCCGTCTCTCGTCTCGTCTTCCTCCGCTTATCCGGGTCCGGGTCGCGGGGGCAGCATGCCAACTAGGGAGCTCCAGGCCGTCCTCTCCCCGGCCTTGTCCACCAGCTCCTCCGGCAGGACCCCAAGGCGTTCCCGGACCAGATTGGAGATGTAACCTCTCCAACGTGTCCTGGGTCGACCCGGGGGCCTTCTGCCGGCAGGACATGCCCGAAACACCTCCCCGGGGAGGCGTCCAGGAGGCATCCTGACCAGATGCCCAAACCACCTCAACTGGCTCCTTTCGATCCGGAGGAGCAGCGGTTCTACTCCGAGTCCCTCCCGAATGTCCGAGCTCCTCACCCTATCTCTAAGGCTGAGCCCGGCCACCCTACGGAGGAAACTCATTTCGGCCGCTTGTATCCGCGATCTCGTTCTTTCGGTCATTACCCAAAGCTCATGACCATAGGTGAGGATTGGGACGTAGATCGACCGGTAAATCGAGAGCCTGGCTTTCTGGCTCAGCTCCCTCTTCCCCACGACAGATCGGCTCAGCGTCCGCATCCCTGCAGACGCCGAACCAATCCGCCTGTCGATCTCCCGATCCCTCCTACCCTCACTCGTGAACAAGACCCCGAGATACTTAAACTCCTCCACTTGAGGTAGGACCTCTCCCCCGACCCGGAGGTGGCAAGCCACCCTTTTCCGGTCGAGAACCATGGTCTCAGATTTGGAGGTGCTGATCCTCATCCCAGCCGCTTCACATTCGGCCGCGAACCTACCCAGCAAGAGCTGAAGGTCAGAGCTGGATGAAGCTAGGAGGACCACATCATCCGCAAAAAGCAGAGACGAGATTCTCCTGCCACCAAACTCGACACACTCCACACCACGGCTGCGTCTAGAAATTCTGTCCATAAAAGTGATGAACAGAACCGGTGACAAAGGGCAGCCCTGGCGGAGTCCAACCCTCAATGGGAACAGGTCCGACTTACTACCGGCTATGCGGACCAAACTCACGCTCCTCTGGTAAATGGACTGAATGGCCCTTAACAGAAAGCCACCCACCCCATACTCCTGGAGCGTCCCCCACAGGGTGCCCCTGGGGACACGGTCATAAGCCTTCTCCAAATCCACAAAGCACATGTGGATTGGTTGGGCAAACTCCCATGCCCCCTCCATCACCCTTGCAAGGGTATAGAGCTGGTCCACAGTTCCACGGCCAGGACGAAAACCACATTGCTCCTCCTCTATCTGAGATTCAACTATCGATCGGACCCTCCTCTCCAGTACCTTGGAGTAGACCTTTCCAGGGAGGCTGAGGAGTGTGATCCCCCTATAGTTGGAACACACCCTCAGGTCACCCTTCTTAAAGATGGGGACCACCACCCCGGTCTGCCACTCCCTAGGAACTGCCCCCGATGACCACGCAATGTTGTAGAGACGTGTCAACCATGAAAGCCCTACAACATCCATAGCCTTGAGATACCCAGGACGAACCTCATCCGCCCCCGGGGCTCCGCCGCTGTGTAGTTGTTTGACTACCTCAGCAACTTCTGCCCCCGAGATCGGACAGTCCATCCCCAGGCCTCCCAGCTCTGGTTCCTCCTCGGAATGCGCATTGGTGGGATTGAGGAGCTCCTCAAAGTATTCCTTCCACCGTCCGACTATTTGTTGACGTCAGCAGCTCCCCATCCCCACTGTAAACAGTGTGAGCGAGTTGCTGCCTTCCTCTCCTGAGGCGCCGGACAGTTTGCCAGAACCTCTTTGGAGCCGATCGATAGTCTTTCTCCATGGCCTCACCAAACTCCTCCCACGCCCGAGATTTTGCCTCGGCAACTGCCACTGCTGCACCCCGCTTGGCTATCCGGTACCTGTCTGCTGCCTCCGGAGACCCACAGACCAGCCACGCCCTGTAGGCCTCCTTCTTCAGCCTGACGGCTCCCCGAACCTCTGGTGTCCACCAGCGGGTACGGGGGTTGCCACCACGACTGGCACCGGCCACCTTACGACCACAGCTAGCAACAGCCGCCTCGACAATCGCAGAGTGGAACAAGGCCCACTCGGACTCAATGTCCCCCACTGCTCTCGGGACGTGGTCAAAGCTCTGCCGGAGGTGGGAGTTGAAGACCGTCTTGACAGGTTCTTCTGCCAGGCGTTCCCAGCAGACCCTCACTATGCGTTTGGGTCTGCCAGGTCTACGCGGCATGTTCCCTTGCCATCTGATCCAACTCACCACCAGGTGGAGATCAGTTGACAGCTCCGCCCCTCTCTTCACTCGGGTGTCCAAAACATACGGCCGCAGGTCAGATGATACGACTACAAAATCTATCATCGACCTGTGACCTAGGCTGCCCTGGTACCAAGTGTACCGGTGGGCATCCTTATGTTCGAACATGGTGTTCGTTATGGCCAAACTGCGGCTTGCACAGAAGTCCAATAACAAAACACCGCTCGAGTTCTGATCAGGTGGGCCGTTCCTCCCAATCACACCCCTCCAGGTCAAGCTGTCATTGCCCAAGTGAGCATTGAAGTCCCCCAGCAGGACAATGGAGTCCCCTGATGGAGCACTATCTAGCACTCGTCCCAGGGACTCCAAAAAGGGTGGGTACTCTGAACTGATATTTGGCCCATAAGCACAAACAACAGTCAGGACCCGTTCCCCGACCCGAAGGCGCAAGGAAGCTACCCTCTTGTCCCCCGGGGTAAACCCCAACACACAGGCAGAGAGTCTCGGGGCTAACAAAAAGCCAACCCCAGCCCTCCGCCTCTCACCCGGAGCAACTCCAGCAAAGTAG